TTTATAGCAAAGCACAGATCAGACACTGGCCATAAACACTACGTGAGAGCTACATTTTTTCCTCTTCTTTAAATTGAATGTTATATGTCAGAATGGATGTAGCTTGGGATTTTGTTTAGCCATCGTGGAAGGTGGGAATTCAGATTTCCAATAGTTAATTAAAGTGTTATACATGTTTTTGTAGCTATGCAAGATCAATATATTTATTCATGAATGTATCCTAAGGGCCTGACCTGCTTGTGCGTAGGCGTGGTGACACTGAAATATGAATATGAAAACTGAAACAGAATATTATATTAATTAAATAGATACCAAAATGGTTGTAACACAAGGTCACGTGTGAAAAAAAATGTCCTTCTACTTCTTACAGCACCAACACAAAAAAACACATCACACAAGTTCATTCTGGAGTGCAATATATTGTATGTGAAATAAGAATTTATGCACATTACATTATAGAAGTCTTTGAACAGAGAGAGACTATTGAACGAACCATGTGGTGGACTTATATCCAAATAAGTGGGTGGATGGTAAACCATGTTTTATTTGCAGTTGATAACATTCGACATTAATATATGGTAGCTTCTCTAATTCCCTTATATCATTGCCAAAGTCTAAATGTGTCACCACTTAAATTTTCATTCTTATCAACATCACGAGCAAAACAAGAAAAAAAAAATCTCATTCAAAAGAATAATGGCCAGTTAAATAGCTGTTTCTGTGTTTCATTATTATAGTTTCAGCAACAGATGAGGCTCATTTAGGAGCCAGGCTTGAGGTAATTGTAACTTTCTGTTCAATATTTTGTCATACAGCGTAGATAGAAGATTATTTGTGGTCTTCAGTCAGAGTAGGGGTAAAAACAAAGTATTTTATCATAATTACAAATTTGCCAAAATGGCCACATTAAGCTCTTTGTGCATATTAAAACAACCAATCCTCGCTGCCCCACCCGTTTCGGAGCTTTTTCATGTAAATTGTTGCAATGAGGATACTAACTGTTAACTGTTTTGCTGATGCAGGACATGTCAGATGAATTTGGATGTTTGAATAATGCATTGTAGAGAACGGCCTGTGAGACTAGGCTGATGTTTGTCTCTCTTTCGTCTGGAAGCACGTGTGATGAGTTTGTAAATCAGCGTCTCGTCCAAATTGTCTCAGGGATAATTTAGAGTCATTATCAAATCTGTTTTTTTTTCAACAGATGAGTAACAGGAGGAAGAACGAGATGTCCCACTGCCCCAGGTGGGAACCACAGCTAATGGGTTGATGGAAGGCTATGAATTATACATAGTTTAACCAAAAGGAGTGCTTTGGATGATTTTAAGGTCCATTACTGCACATTTATCTGCTTCTTCTGTGCTTCAGTGGTCCAGGAAAAGACCAACTCAAGGTGGTTTAGAGGCAGATTGCACACGTTCTGTTCTCAAGTACTGTTTATTCACACAGCCAAAACATTACTCTTTGCAGATGGTTACTTTCGTCTGCTCTCTCTGTTGCTTCACTGTCAATAATAGGCTGAATATTTGCAACAATTTGTAGTCTGTTTACTGACATATAATCAGACAATGTTCTTATCGCCTGTTTATGCGAAAAAAACAGAGCTTCAGATTTCTTGTTAGAGATTTCTTCCAAAATGAAACCATCCGCGGTAGATCTGTATTCTCTTTATGAGTGATACTTATCAAATGATTGCTGCTGGCATGGGAATTAATTTTATACTCGACAGAGGAATAATGTGGGGTTTTTTGTATATATTTTTGGGGGCTTTTTGCCTTTATTAGATAGGACAGCTGAAGATTGATAGGAAAGAGGGAAAGAAAGAAGGGATGAAACGCCATGTCAGTTGATACAACACAATAGTCGTTCAAGCTATTCGATCGCAATCCAATCTTTTTTCTTCCTGTGAAACTAAATGTGACGCATGCTTACGTAAGCGCGAATCGACCAATTTCAACCCATAATATCATGACATTCACCCGTCAATCAATCTTCAGCTCTTGGCAACACAGCAAAGATTTATTAGTTTGCTGCCTAGCAACAACATAGCTACCCAGTGTCTCTTGCTGTCGGGTCTAACTGATTACTACAAAAACGCAACTTTATGACTTGTGCAAAATGAATGAATCAGTGATTTTGGGGTCAAACTAACCTCCGTCGGCATCGGATGCTATATTAGGTTCCCATCTTGCCATGCTGTTCACTCCTGGTCCAGCTGAGTCAGTTATTAGGACCACAACAGCTGCTTGGCGGGGGAACGTAACACACATTCAGCGCTATTGGCGACAGCGACAAGTTCGTCCCTAGTTACCTGCTTTTACAGGAAGCAAATAGCACTTTGCCTTCTGCTTTATGTGGATCTTAAATTTGAAGTAGCTACTGATTAGTTGCTCTTTTCCAGGAAACATCATATTGTGCGCAGGCACTGGCAGAAATGACCTTTATATAACCTAATGCAAATTTGCAATAGCAATACATTTTTACTTAAATGTAAGTGCACATTTTGGTATCAGCTACAACTGTCATTAGTCAGGGGGAAAAGACCAGCCTATGTTCCACCTTTTGTACTTGGGATGGGTCAATAAATAATAAAAGAAATATAGCTAATACAGCAACAAGGTTCCTTTTAAATTGTTAATTCTACTGTACATTTATTCCCACTGTATTTAGAAATACACAGCTTTCAGAAGATTGACTTAATATGTAATCAAAACATGTTGACAATAAATGGGTGATCAGTGTGACAAAACCTCGAGGGCAAAGAATAAATTAAAGCCGAAAACTCATTAATAAAGCCTCATTCCGTTAAGTGACTTGAGATGAGGCCATTCACCCCCATACAGCATGCTGCTCATACATAAGCCTCAGACGGACAACACACAGGAGAAACAAAAGCTGTCATCTGCACCCATGTTATCGACAGTCACAAAGTCAATAAGGGGCTGCTGGAAATTACCTCCAGCTCCAGCACACTACTCAGTGTAAGGTGACAGCTTTTACTTCATCTGGAGGTGTCTCGTCAGTCCCCGTGCAAATAAAGCCTGAAATAACAAACACACTAAGCTGTCTGTGTTAAAGTTAATCAGAATTTAATGAACTAGCTGTCATCTGTGGTTGTTAAGAGGATTTAGGATTATTGAAGAGAGTGCGAGAACAAAGCACAAGTAAATTACCTTGTAGGTATAATGACAGTTGGGGTTTAATAAAGTGAAGGCCAGCGGGTGTAATGTATCATTGTCACTTTATGTATCCAGATTAATTCAATAACATTACGGATGTGTCTAAGTGGGATTTACATGGAATAGTGCAGCAACAGTTTGATCATTGTTGGGCTTTGGAAATTAAATTAAAGGAGTAGTACGACATTTCTAGAAATATTCTTATTCACTTATGGGAGAGTTAGATTAGGAGATTGATACCACTCTCATGCCTGTCAGTAAAATATAAGGCTATAGTCAGCCAATTAACACGTTATGTTATGTGTGTGTAAAAGTGCCAAAATTACTATTTGGCCACGTAACTTCCTGGAGTCTCCCTGGCAACTGGCACATTTTTACACTTGGGTTTTTGGACGGATTTAACAAATGAGATGTAATGTGTTAATTGGGAGCGTTAAAGGGTGCTAACGGTTTACCACTGTTTCCAGTCTTTATAATAAGCTAAGCTAACCACCTGCTGGTTGTAGCTTTATATTTAAGGGGCAAATATATAGACACACACATAGTGAGAGAGAGTGATATCAATCTTGTCATCGATTACCTAAAAGGGGAAAAAAATAAAATCTGAACATCTTAGGTGAAAAATTAACAACTGAAAGTAGTGCCTTTCATAGAGACAATCTAATTCCTGATGGCTTCATTATAGCTTCATTATTTGGGTTGATTAGCTCTTTGCTGTGTAATGCCACCCTGTGGAGCACTATAATAACTCGCAGGCATATTGACCTCATCCCGGGTCTTAACAGTAGAAATCCTCCACACATTTAACATTATGAACAACAGAAGCAGCTTGATTAAAATGCCATCACTCTGACTTTTCAAACGTTCAGGTGGTCTTGAGCTGCACTGCATTTCACCTAGACATGTTAGTCCTAAGAACGACTAGATTATGATTGTTGTTAGTTTCATGTTTCATTTGGGTTTTTGGTCTACAGGGTATGGTGCACAAGATAAATCATTTCTATTTCTATTTTTTTTTTTTAACATGATCATCATGCAATGTGGACAACAAATGCTAAACATATATTTCCTTGCTGACAAGAGCTCTTAACAGTTGAGCCATTTCAGTCGTTTGTGTTCCATCCTCTCTGCTAATGGATCCACACTTTTTCTTCTGTTTTCTATAAAACTATCCTCCATACTCTTTGAAGTACCTCTTGTTTTTGCCCAGTTTTCCACCATGTTGACTGACTGATCATTTAGATTACTAAAAAAGCTACTGCAGACTGAGAAGCCTCTTTGTCAGAAAGTTTACCTTTTTATTAGTTTTTATTGAGTCTTCAATATTTTTTCTCAAAAAATGTATTTAACTGTAAGCAATTTTGTGTTCCTTTATGTTTCCAGTTTCCAGACAGAAATGAGCTGGTAGCTGATGAAAGCCAGCTCCTGTAGCCCCTTTTGCATTGAATGCAACTTGCCTTGAGTTTCAGGGAATAATTTCAACTATCAGGGGGGCTCTGGGCCAGAGCCTCTGTTTGAAGTGACTGTTCTTCTTGGGAAGTCACAGAGTTCAGTTCAAAATATGAATGTCCAAGTAATTTTTTTTTGTTACTACACAGAGACTACAAAGACTCACAAAATGACTACAAAAAGACTTTAAGTTACTACAAAAAGATGCAAAGACACAAAAAATGACTAAAAAGAGACAAAATCACTACAGAGACACACAAAATGACACCATAACAAGTACAGAGTAATAAAAAGACTCGAAATTGAGACAAAAGGTGGAGGGTGGAGATTAGGGGCCTGTTATCTCATTATACGTCCATGCTTTCTGTGCAGATACACTAAAATGAAGACTGCCACCAACATCTACATCTTCAACCTTGCTCTGGCCGACGCCTTGGTCACCAGCACCCTACCATTCCAGAGCGTCAACTACCTGATGGGGACCTGGCCTTTTGGTGACGCGCTGTGCAAGATGGTGATGTCCATCGACTACTACAACATGTTCACCTCCATCTTCACGCTCACCACCATGAGCATTGACCGCTACGTTGCTGTGTGCCACCCAGTCAAAGCACTGGACTTCAGGACACCGCATAACGCCAAGATAGTCAACGTCTGCAACTGGATTCTCTCCTCGGCCATCGGGCTGCCCGTCATGTTCATGGCCTCCACCGCTGTCACTCGTAAGTTATCATTATTTCTACACTGCAGTGTGTACACAAATGCTGGAGTTGACCTCTAATGAGTGTGATGCATAATAATAGAAACATACTGAATATTCTTTAAAACAACTATAAGAAATAGATAAAGCTTAGCTTTCCTGGAAATATCCTTGAGGATAATTCCATTTGTATGACAAAACCTTGAATTTCATCCAACAGAACAACTGAATAGAGAAAGGTATGACGTCAAGAAGTAGCATCCAACAGTAAAGTAGCAACCGTGGCCAACAAAGCCGAGTTTAGGCTGTGATATATGCTCCTTTCTTTCATTGTACTTGGTAGATGAGTTCAACATAAGTCCAGCTCGGAAAAAAATCATTCATTCTCTTTATTCCAGAAAACTCTTTGAAAGGAGGCAACCCAGAGGAGTTGTTTAGGTTGTTGTGTGTAATTGGGCAAAATATCTGTTTCATGCCAAATGCCTGGCTGGTGACTAATATAACCAGCTGCATAGTCAAGGAGCTACCTGCAAATACAGGCCACTGAAATTGCTGATAGTCTGATCCTGCTCTGTTTAAAGGAGAGAGAGTAATGAAGTGGTATTTTTATGCCTTTATTAGAGATTTAGACAGTGGAGAGATGACAGAAAATGAGAAAGATGGAGACTGTTGTTCATCATTGGTGGAGTAGCTAAAGAGCTGGATATTTCCCTCAGGAGTTGCTGAGAAAAAACTGGTGCTGACTATTGTATGCTACCATTCGCCAGGTAGACACAACTCCAAATAAATACTGTTGCTCAATATATGCTGGATGTGTAGATGGCCACATGGTCATTAATAAAGTAATTTTTTTTACTGGATCCATCCTTAAATATGAGGATTTGCTGCTTTTCTCTGTTTTATATCATTCATTAAATATGGTAAGGTTTGAACTGTTGCTCAGACAAAATAAGATATATGAGTCACTATTTAGTCACTAAATGACAGTTAATCATAGACTTTACAGTCAAAATAATTATTAGTTGCACCCTAAATACTCTATTACACTTGAACACTGCATTTGGTTGGATTATGTTCAACAAGATTAAACAAGTGTCAGAGGAAGGAAGCACAAATGTTCAAATAGAGCTAGACAATTGAAAATACAATTGTGTCTGTTTACCTGCAAACATATGAACATAATAAGTGTCTCCTCACCCTGCACAGCCTCCAGCATTGTTGACTGCAAGCTGGTTTTCCCCCACCCCTCATGGTACTGGGATACCCTGCTGAAGATCTGCGTGTTCATCTTTGCCTTCATCATGCCCGTGCTCATCATCACTGTCTGCTACGGTCTCATGATTCTGCGGCTGAAGAGTGTGCGCATGCTGTCGGGCTCCCAGGTTAGGACAAATCTGTTTTTCTTTTACAACCACGGGCCAAAATTAGTTATTTTCAACACTGTGTGCCAAAGGCTTTTAATTAGATGCAAATGAGAATTTTAGAATGTAAGCATTAGTGAGCGTTTTGTGAACTGTTAAAAGCTTGGGTCACGGCCTAAGCTATTTACTGAATAACTAAATGATTTTATTTTTCAGAATAATGAAGCAAATTAGAAGGCTACTGCAGAGCATGCATGCAAATAAGGTGCATTCATTGCTCTCCAGAGAAAACAATTAGAGAAAATCAACTTAAGCCTGAGGTTGTGGCTCAGTTTTAATTAATTGCAGTAGAAGGCAAAATGACCCAGCAACAATAATTCCACACTCGGTATTAGAGAAAATGTACTGGCTGCCAAATGTGCACATTCGAATCAGGATATGTAGGTACAAAAAAAATCATTGTGGTTGTTGATACTCATAGCTCGTGGATGCACTTTTTTTTCCCATCAACCTTTTTCTCATCTCTCTGCCTCTTCATTCTCTCCCCTTAACCTCTCTGCTCCTTCCCCTATCATTATTATCTGTCCTACCTCGCCTTCTTCTGCTTTCCTCTTTGTAATCCTTCATCTTCCCCACTCCAACACTCATCTTGCACTCCCTTTTATCCCCAACACTAAAAAACCTACCTCTTTCACACACACACAGGAAAAGGACAGGAACCTGCGTCGGATCACCCGCATGGTCCTGGTGGTGGTTGCCGTCTTTATCGTCTGCTGGACGCCTATCCACATCTTTGTCATTATCACAGCTCTGATTAATATCCCCAGCTCCACACTGCAGACTATCACCTGGCACTTCTGCATCGCTCTGGGCTACACCAACAGGTATGCATCCGGCAGTGGCTTTAGGCAAATATATTCACTCTAGTATCAAAACTATTAGTCCAAAAAAATCTGGTATAATAATTATATTTATAATAAGAGGGTTTTGCTGGTCACTGCTTCCCAAATGTGATTTTCTGACTGATAGACAGTTTCAAGAAACTACTTTGAACTCTGGTTGTTGTCATTTTTAATTTGTAGAGGCTTGTGTACTCCTGCCACACCTGTATTTTTCTTACGGCAGGCGTGAGTATTTATTTCAAAGAGGTTTTATCAATTCAATTTGGGTGGTGCTATTTTAGATTGGAAGCCTGGGTAATTGTAGATAACAGGATGCAGAAAAATCGTGTGCTTAACAGATAAGAGGAAATGGTATTGACTTTTTAATAATGTACATTTGTTGGTACACGTTATACAATGACTTAAGTTGACTGGTACTTTACACAGCACACATTATACTGTATATAAAGGTGAAAAGGATGTTAGCGAGTTCAATGGGAAGCTGATTTTCTAGTGTTAAAACTGCGACCTTGTTTTTGCCCCCCCTGCAGTAGTCTGAACCCGGTTCTTTATGGCTACCTGGATGAGAACTTCAAGCGTTGTTTCCGTGAGTTCTGCACCCCGAGTCCCTCGGTGTTGGAGATGCCGAACTCGTCCCGGACCGGAGCCACTAGCCGCAAGCTCCCACAGCGTGAACACAACAGTGCAAACACAGGAGAAAGGTCCAATCAACAGGTAGATGTTGTCTGTGTGTATACATGCCAGTATGTGTATCTACTTACTGGCTTTCTTCTGAGAGATGAGAAGATCAATGCTTCTCTCATGTCTCTGCAGTAAATATTAGGGTTGAGTGAGTACACGGCTAAAATTGGTATACAGTGCAAATAATGTGTTTAGTATGTGTTAAGTATGACTATCATCATAGTAAAATGTTTCAACTTCTGATCAACCCATAACAGTTTCAGGCAGAAATTATGTGATGAGCGTAGGCTGGCCCGTGGGGTCCGTCCAACAGACGAGCTACTGTAGCTCAAACTACTGAAAAAGTGAATGCTGGTTCTGATAGAAAGGTGTCAGAACACACAGTGTATCACAGTTTGTTGGTATAGGGGCTGCATAACATTATGACCACCAAGGTGCCCAGGTGGTCATAATGTTATTGCTGATCAGTGTATACGGTAATGGTGTACTTGTTTATCCATAGTTAATTTGATGCTACAGTCAGCAGCTGATTAGCTTAGCTTAGCTGAGTTTAGCATAAGACTTGTCATCAACATGAGGTTGCCACTTTACCAGGCCAAGAAATAATCTGCCACATAACCTCCCATAAAACCACAAATTGTTGTTTTTGTACGGATTAAATAAAATTAGCATACAGACATGAGAGTGGTCAATCTTCTCATTTTACTCTAGGCAAGAAAGCTAATAAACATTTGTTAAACAGTTACTTTATATCAATTTATTTTAGCAATATGGCTGATATTCATACAAGGGTACTAAATAACACGCATACAACATAACATAAACACACTTTCTCTCTGCAGGTATGACTAGCCTTGGAGGGGTCGTCGGTGGATTCTCGCTGTTGTGGCGGCGTTGCCAACGACGACCTCAACTCAGAGGTCACGCAGGTCACCACAGGGCTCTGACCACACACACACACACACAAACAAACAAACCACATACATACATACAAACAACCCAGGACATGACTGAGACTCAATAGCACAGACCATTTTGACGATGTGTTGCCAGCTTAACTGCAGCGTTGCATCAGGTCAGGCCATTCACCTGCCAACCAGTCTAACTATTACTAACTGCATGGCTGTGCAAGGCTTTTACTCTTACTGAAACAGATACGGGAATGAGTTAAACAGAAAACCAAGAAGTTGCTGGACTAAATTGTGCATTAATGCTATTACAGTTTAACAAAATTCTGATCTAATTTTTGACAATATAGACTACACAGTCTGAAAATGTGCAGTAACGAAAGAGAAATGTATAGACATAAAAATGTAAAAGCTACTTACTCAAGACACTAATATGATGTTGTTTTGTTCTGCCTGCTCTGTACAAACCTGCCTCATTGATCTAAACCTAACCCTCATCCTGTCTCTAATTCTCTAGGCTGTAAAAAAAAAAGAGATCAATTATTTGTCATATGTTTGCAGAGTTCATATGACTTCAAGGCAATCTGTCTGTTTACCTCCTGATGTTTCCTTTTTCAATTATTTGCACGTCTGAGAGGAAATATGGATTAATGGCGGTAACTGCACAGTATAAGATCTAATCTGATTTTAAACGTGTTGCCATTTATTGCCTCTCATCTTCGTCTATTTTTATTTAGTCTCTGTAAAGAAGTTTTCTACCCTGTTTCTGGACTTATCGTTGAGCAGACATAGGGTAGAGCATTGTATGTTCCCTCTGCTGTATTTGACAAACCTCTGAATGTACAGAAGGAAAACCAGCTGTGTTTATCGCATTGGATCCTTGTGCTGAACTGTGGATCCTCTAAACCAGCAAAGAAGACACATCAGCATGTTTGCACAGTGTGTGCTTTTGTGGCATATAGTGCGAACATATGGTACTACCAGTGTATGATTAACTACAGCTTATAACAGCCATTACCCAGCGTATGGGTTTTAATGGAGTCACCTCTCCTTTGAAGACTTTAACAAGTGAGCTAAGCAGGATTGTACATCTGTTGTAATCTTTAAAATTGCGTGTGCTTAAGTGTTGTGCTGTATGCTTTACTTGCCAGTTGCCTTTACAGTAGCTCTACTCAATATTCTGTGTACCAGTATTTTTCTAACAAGCTGAAAAGATGAACATGATTGTATTAATCGCCCATGTAAAATACTGTAAGTATTCTGTTGCTTTTATATGAAGATAATTTCAAGAATTTGTCAGAAAATGATTTCTGAAGATGATGATGGACCAGCAAGTCATTGTGCTTCTAAATATAACTTTTGTCATATTGAATCTTCCTTGTTGACTGAAGAGATCTTAATCAGAAAATAATGTGCAAAACCTTAAATTGTGAATTTGAAAATGTAGAGTTTAAATTCATAGAAAGTTTCATATGTAATTTGTTTGTTTTGACTGACATACAGTCAAAAAAATCAGTTATCTAATATTAATATATTAGGCTACTTATCATAAAAACAGCTGCTGATTTTGGCTGAAAGGCCTATCAAGTGTCACATGCTGTATATCATGTGCAAAATGTACAATATCTTTCATCTCACAAAACACATTATGTCACCTTTTTTACACTGTGGTATGCTACTAATAGCTGTGAGTATGAATATCCATCCGGTAGCAAGTCTGGCTACCTGTTTGCCCTATGCTGCTGTGTCAATTTTGAATTTCTCCTAAGGGGGATCAATAAAGGAACATCTTATCTTATCTTATACACAAATATTAGTAAAAATACAAATTCATGTTTTTTCAGAGGTATTCAAGATTTCTTTATGAATTACCTGGCATGCAAATATCTTGGTCCTCTGCACGCCCAGGAAGTCTAAAGTGTGTGGTGTCGGACAGGGCCTCTCTAAATAAAGGCTTGTGTGGTTCGCATTAATTTTTTTTCCAAAGTTGGAGCAGCTGATAATTGCACAGCTTCTTTCCTGAGCGTACACATAATTCTTTATGGTCTTTATGAAGAGACATGCAGCTTTGGCCCCAGGTTTTTAGCACGATATCATGTAGCCATGAATATTTGAGACCCTGTTTACCAGATTAGAAATTAGTCATTTGAAAACATTAAAAGTCTGCCAGAGATTTTCAACCAACCTGTGGAGCGAACATTAGCTTCCCTAGTTCACCAGCTGATGAAATCAGTAACAGTTTGCCAGTTAGCACACCGTGAGGTCTAACGTTACAACTGTTTGAAATGAAGGACCCATTGTTTCAAAAGTAAAAAAAATTCTAAATTTACCACACAAAATAAACAGCTTTGAGCTGCTTAGCAACAGTAACTCAGCAAACTGTCAGTTGTGGTAATGATAAATATTGAACACATTGTGTGTCATTAATCTAATAAATAGCTTAAGACATAATGCATTGCAGCAGGCGACACTTGGTGCACCATAAACAATATACCGGTACTCTTGAAGGTAAATTCAAATGAAATGAATTTGATGCTGTCAGTGGTCTGTACACACGGCACCGTCAAACTCGCTTTTTAAAATATTTTTTTTTGTTTACATGACTTATGACTCCATCATGACTGAACTTGTATTCTATTCTTGAAACTAGATTTCTTGTAATCTCATGTACAGACGATAATTTCTACTTTATGGACGACACTCTGTAACACAATACATATAATTTTACTGTTAATCAGTGCATTGTCAGTGGAATAAAATGAATCTCACTAAATGCATTTTTTCTTGTATCTAAATAAAGTATCATCTATAATGTGGTCTGTTGTTTCTTTAAATACTAGTACATCTTCATCATCTTCCTGAAACACACTACAGCGTTTCTTTTCTGTACAGTCAGAAGTACAAATAACAAACAAGAAAATCAGAAAAAGTGGACTATCACTCTAAAATATATCTTCTAGGGTCGGAGCAGAGTTTTTACCTCCTACTTTGATTTATTACCCAATGACTGCTTTTAAAAACGTATTATTGTGACATTAGGGGAGCTCCATGTTTCAGCCAGAAGGTGCTGTGTCAGTGTAGTGTGTATATGTGTAGCCTATTTGGTGATGGATTGAGATGTCACAGCAGACATTTTGACTTGTTATTGCAATGAAATGAAATCACAGGTATAATTGATAAGATTAACATTGCCTGGCTGTGTTCCAGTTTAACTGTCCTAGTATGGCATGACAGTGAGCCAGTATGCACACCAAAATGTGTACCCAGTTGTGTTTAACAAAAAAAATGTCCACCAGTGTCTCTTAGGAAGAAATTGATTTTTCCTCGTTGTTTTTCCTTATGGGAAATCCCTTAAAAAACGGATGAAAACTGGAGTGGAGTTCTGTAAAATGGACAGATTGAGGGCTGAGGGGACGAGGGAGCAATTATGTACACTCAAAGGGAACATGCATTGGAATATTCTATTCTATTTTTATGTACAATGCATGATGGAATATTCTGTATAATTATATGCAATTATGCATTTATATTATTACTGTTACATTTTATGATATTTAATGAAAGCCATCTTTTATTCCTCCCAGTTTTAAATGAATTATTTGGCTTGCTTAAGAGCAGGTGTGTTTCATTTTCAGTCCTCTGTTCCTCTCTGACCCTGCCCCCTCACTCAGCAAGTGGCCACGCTCTTGACATATGGTGCTAAGTATCACCAAGTGTTGGGATTGCCGTGAATGCAGTGAAGCAAGCTTTTATTCTTTCATCTAAAAAAATGAGATGATTTACGGAGGCTGCTTCCTAACGTTGAGGAAAGTTTGAGCTGGCACAGAATGTCAATTCAGATTTCGTCTAAAATTTAAATGTATTCAAAAAGTTATGTGTGAACATTATCAACCCAGACAATCTGCGAGGTCACTGTGGATTCAGTGTGTATGCATGAGGTGCTGGTTTGTGTGTGAGAAAACATCAGCATGGTCTCAGAAGTGAGTGGGTGTGTTTATGGCATGCATGTCTGTATACATGCCTTCAACTCGATCTTGTCACATACGGGGTTGTTGAGGAGCCAGCCTTTATATTATTGGAGTTGGCAGCATGATTAGTCTTGTCATAGCGATTATCATCAAGTGGCGCTGAATGTCACATGCTCCTGCAGAGACAGCGCTCTCCTTCATGCAATGTTGTGGAGCTGCCTTTGTCTGTCCATGAAAAACTAATCAACCAAAACAAAATTAAATGACCGCAGGAGCAAAAGTCAGGTTCTGTAAGAGAAGGTTGAAATACATTTTGTGTCTTGTGTAGAAATCTGAGAGAAATGTGCCTCATTTATTTCCCCTGCTGCATCCTCTCTTCGTTTCGGTCTGGCAACAGCACCTCACCCACATCACAAGCAATGTTTTCCCTGGCCAAGCAGCGAGGGAAATATTGCCTAGCATGGCAAATCCAGCCATGAAAAGCATCAACTGCTATATCTAACCCTAACCTGTTGCCCTCTTATGCTAAAGCTCTGATTGCTAATTGTAAAACTGTGTGACAGGTGTTTGCCTATGTGATGAGTCAGTGTGCATAGTAGGGCAATTAACTTTAGAATTTTGAATGACAGTGTGTTCCAAGATATTTTCTTCATGAAAATTGTGCCAAATGCAGAGAATTGTGTGTAGTGTTTTGAAAAAAGTGTGTTTTAGAACTGCAATTTGAGTGTAAAGTAGGAATTGTGCTTGTAGTTTAGCAGAATTGGTTCAGGGGGTTGGTGCATGAGTTACATGTTGTGGTCACTGTGTCTCAAGTACCAGTATTTGTGTGTAAACAATTGAGAAAAACTGTAAAACAATACTCCACCAAATTAGAATTAGACTTTCATAAATCTTGGAAAGAGACAAGTTAAAGTAATAATATATATAATAATATGTATAATAAAAACTGAAGCAGCAGAGGCTGAGATATTGAAGAAATCGGTCTCTTGCAGAAAATAATAATTTGCCAGCTTTAACTTATAAAACAATGTTTTCTTCTCAAGACTCTCCTTTGTAAGAGGAATTTCACTACAAAAATCTTTTTCAGCCTGGTTATATGTGTGGAGTTCCACTTAAACAGAACATTTATATTAAGCACAGTGTGGTGTTTCCCTGTATTACAACTACTCTGTACAATGCGTCTCATGAAGAGCCCTTAAGCAAGGTATAAGGTCAAGTGTGTAATAGCTCCAAGGTCAGTGAAAGATGTGCTGGCAGATATGAACACAAGTTTATGTAGTGCACTGAACGATCACTCATGTGTATATACCGTATGTATGTGTGAAAGAGTTTCAAGATTCAGTATGCATTCTTTTCCTCTCGTTTTTTACTTTTGCACTCCAACCAGATAGATGTAGTTTTATCTCACTTTTGCAGAGCTACACCTATGGTAAAATAATAGTCACAGGGGCAAAATAATCAAACTTTGATAGCCAATCTTTTAGTGAGCAGACCTGGGAACTGCGAAGCAAAGCACTAGCAGGAGGAAAGGGTAATGAAATCAGGTGGATGGATGGGAATATTGCCTGACTGGATGGCTTGTGTGCTGCTGAGTGATAGCCTAGTAAAAAATGGAGTCAGCGATATTTCCAGTGATTTAAACCAACTGCCTAAGATGGAGCTCATTCCAAACCAGCAGGCAACCGAGGCAGATAGATAGAAGAAGTAAAAAACAAACTACACCCTATAGGGTTGTAACAATTATGGCACATTGGGCGATGGACAAACTGAGGCGGCTCATTGGTCAGCTGTCGAGCTCCTGGCTTTGGCTGGATGGCTGGTTCATTGGCGGACAAAGTAATGAGGTGGATGGCAGCTTTACAAGACTCAGCGGTCTGTCTCACTCATTTGCTTACTGATACATTAGCTCGACCAACTGGCTAGTTTGTTTATCTGACTCACCTCCTGTCTGTGTGCTCGGGACAATCCATGCCTTTAATTTCCCCACCACACCTGAGATTCTCTCTCCAGTGTCTGCCTCTTACCCTCCTGATGCGCTGTAAACCGCAATATTCCTCTTGGTCAGATGATGAGAGCACGTTAGCCATTAATCGAAGTGTGAAATAGCCTGAGGAAACTCCAGCTCTATGACAGTGCTGAGTTGCTGAAGTATCAAGGCCTGGAGGACTTAAATCGGATTTGGCACGGCTCTGAACATACAATCTCACTCCTTCTTGCGCCTGCTGTGTGAGGTTTCATAGAGGATTTACGTTTATTTGCTGTTAGAAGCTCATTATTTTCTTATTGATTACATACTATGATCAGTCAAAAGCCTGTTTACTTGAGGCTTTGGTTATGACCTGAGCAAAGCCACTTGAAAAAGATAAAACAAGACTCTTGCCTTTGGCTTTCCCCTGGAGTCCTCTGCAATGTACAGTATAAAGCAGATAACCGGAGCACAGCATGACATCCTCAACTGAATAGGAATCACAAGTACAGATAAAACGCTGAATCTCATCATTCATGCTGTTGCACATGACACAATTGTACCTTTGAACAGTGATATCAGATCATATACCCAGTGAACATGTGTGCAGAATAATTGTGTTTACATGCATCATAATAGGATGATTAAGCTCATTAACAGAATGTGCACATTTGCGTAAATTCTCAGTTAAGGTTCCACAGGGCAAATAAATGAGGCATATTTCTCTCAGATTTCTTTAACACAAAATGTATTTCAACCTTCTCTTACCGAACCTGACTTTTGCTCCTCATTACAAGAGGTCATTTAATTTTGTTTTGGTTGATTAGCTTTTTATGGACAGACAAACGCAGCTCCACAACATTGCAACTGAAGGAGAGCGCATAGTTTTTTGTTTTTTTTTACTCTAACTGTATACAGTAATTTCTTCTGTTGTTTTGTATGTAGACCACTGTATGTGCAATTTTGTGTTGGTTGGGATGTACGCTGTGTACATTGTTTTTGTGGGAAAAATAAAATATATTTGTTACCGTGTGATTAAGGCCTAAGTCATTATGATGAATGGAGAAGTGTTTTCCATTCATGATAGTGTTTTACATTGGGCACATCAGTGTTCAACTGGTTCTTAGAAATGTCTATTCATATGATGGTTTGTGTGTGTCATTTGAAAACAAAATACCATTTTGAGAAGAAATAACATTGTTTTGAATATAAAGTTTAATTTTCCAGGAGAATTCAGGGGTTTTGCCCATTGTGTGTGTGTGTTTTTTGATTTGTGTGTAGAGTTCTGAGAGTATGAGGCATGCTTTCAGAAAATGTGTGTAAACAATCGAGTAAAACTGTAAAAAGGATTCCATAACAGAGACGCATGGTATCGTTTTTTATTTCATCCCCCTGCTGGCCCTTACATAGAATTCAGGTTTTAAAACACGCTTTGGCTTCACTTTACAGACCCGGAAGTTCTGTCCATTATATATACTGTCAATGCTCAGTTTAAACCCACAGTGCATTTGTCTGCCTTTATCTGCAGCGTGTGTGTATGGTGGGACATCTTGATTTTTATCCCATCCATATTAACAGGTTAGAGCAAACAGATAGCCCTATGGGTGACAGCAGCAAATACAAAGCAAGATTCTGTTACCGTGTTTTTTTAGTTTTAATTTTATTTTAGTTAAAATTATTTCAGAAACACATTTTAGTGTACTGTTTAGCTGTAATATGAGATTGCGTGTGACCAGGCACGCCAGCATTGTTTCCTACTACTGATGAGTCGAAACTGCGAACAGCTCAACTGGCAGTACGTTGTACTGTCTTAGGTTAGGCCACAATAAATCTTTGTCCACTCACGACATAACACTTAAAAACAGTAGCCACAGCCTGTTCACCCTGCTGCCATCTGAAAAGAGGTACAAATGCTTCTGCTGCCTTACGACCAGACTTAAAGACAGCTACTTACCTCAGGCTGTAGGACTGCTAAATTCATCTGCAGCACTTCATCATGCAAACTTTTATATTTGTATTTGTATGACTTATTAATCAATTGTATACAATATATGTTAACACCTATATATATAAAGGCGTTGAAAAATGTCAATTATAGTAGTAGTAATATTTTTTTTTTTTTTTTTTTACAGTATCCCCACAGTGTCCACTAATTAAAATGTAAAAAGAATGGAAAAGGGATTGTTATACCAACTGCATTAATACATATTAAGGCACAGAGCGCTACAGACTCAAGTGTTAATGGAAATTGAAGAAAAGGCAGTTAATTATTCTCACCATCAAAAACAGACACAGACAATGGGAAGGAGTAGCATCATGTAACCAGCTGTATTAAAAGCACATCTCATTTCCCCACTTCTATCTCATTTCTCCTGCTTCAAGTGGATGTAAGAAGACTAATTACTTACATATAATTGTATTCTCATTATGATGCAAATTCCACATCTTTTCAGCTGTCTGGTGCCTCCATTATGCAATCAGCTTCTCTTATGACATGGGACTGGAGATACAGTTCAGTTTTATCTCTCAAATCACACTGACTGAACTGAACACACTGCACTATACCACCAGTTTAAAGGTATAGAAAGTAATCAAGGCTCACAAGCTACTCTGGGCACCCTTACTTTTTCTGTTTTATGAACTAAGGACAATACACCCAGCAGCTTCTGCCAGGACGTGCTATCGGAAATGTAATCTCTATCCCTGTAGATCTCCATGGTGCAGTGTGATAAATGAACCTTCTTCTCTTATTACTGTTATCCTTCATTGCCAGGTTGTTCTCATCAAGTATTTTTCTACAGACAATCAATAGTCATGAACAGCGGCCCTCACGAGCCCCAAATGAATAGAGTATATTGTCTAGTTTAATCACATCTGAAGGTGAATCTCAAAGAAGTGATCTTATATCATGATGGATCCTTTTTCCATACATGTCTTACAGTGACTTAAATGCATAGCTTATCAGTATGTCAGAGGAAGACTTGGTTGATTCTTTCTTTTATTTCCAGCTATTTATATTCATCACAAGCTGAACACGAGGGGGATCGCCCCTATGTGCCCTTTTTTTTCTTTCTGCCCCTGCCCTTCAAAAAGTCTGTGCACTCCACTGTTTCCATGTATACATTGCCAATAGATGAGCTAGAAAAATAGCTGTAAATCCTTCAACGTGGCTCCAACAAAAGCAGTCACATTCCTGCATAAAGGCAGCAAACGACAATGTTTTTATGTATGAGGGGCTTATGTAACCACCCAGATGACCGTATCTCCAGCGTTAGCGAGTGGTCTGCTTAACCCAGCGCTACCACTGGCTGTTACTATGACTATTGTGTTCTGCTTCCTTCTGCTCTCTCTCCACATCTCCACTGCTGTTTCTAATAAACAACAAGAAAAAGGGGGTGACTCAGCTCAACAAGCAACACGTTAATAATAAAAAAACTTGAAATTGAAAAGGAAAAGAACCTGTGCAAAATTCAGCTAATTATCCAAAGTATTCCCATCAGGGGACAGGAGTTGGAAATAAGCTTTGGCTATAAAAACCTTTTCAACACATGGGAGACTGCTATTGCAACAGTTTATGTGATTTACCTTCAGATAACTTTAATAAAACAGTTACACCTTCTTGTCATTATAGAGCTTCAGGGATGAATGCACTCTATTAGTATGTAAGATGAAAAACAACTCTGCTCTACCCACCCACACAATCATTTAGTACAAATGCACTTACAGAAAATCATCAATTTAAAAAGCTCTTTAGGATAAAAATAAATAATCATCTTAACAGAAAGGGCCTGTCTGTGATATCACTGCAAAATGGAAGTGAGCTCTAGCGGTGTGTTTCTAGTAGGGATGGGAGGATTACACTGAAAATGTAATCTGTTATGATCACAAATTACCTGTTTAAAATTGCAGTCAGTAACTAATCCAAGTATCTCAATATTAAAGTAATGTAACTTGATTTATTTCCGTTACTTTTGGATTACCTGAACTCCAAATATGCAAATAAAAACAAGAGAAAAGAAACATCAGTAACAAGTATCGATGCAACTGTTCTCTGTAAGACAACAGAACAATGTAACCTTGGAAACGGAAAAAATAAAAAAAAGTGTCCTTTGGTTAGTGTATTTTTAAACAAAAACTGCTAAATATTTCCCCCTTTTACTAAATGTGAGTGTTATCTAATTATGTATTTTTTCTGTGACTGTAATGGATTACACTTTTTTTGTATCCTGATTATGTAACTAAATTATATGTAATCCATTCCCCCCATGGTTTCTAGGGAAGGGAAAGTTAGTCTGTCAGTCTTTAACTTAGGTAGAGATTGAACTATTTCAACAACAATCCAACTGCTATTTCATAGCCATGAAATGTTATACAGATACTCAAGTCCTAATTTAATATCTCCTTACTTTGGTTATCGCCTGGCTTTTCCTCTAGTTCCACCACAAGGCTGACATTTTTGTTTTTTAGGTGAAATGTCTCAACAACTTTAGGATGGATTGCAATGGAATCTGGCAGAGACATTCATGTTCCCCTCTGGATGAATTGTTGTAGCGATTGATCTCATTTTCATCTTTAATTTGCCAATACTTTGGTTTGTGACCAAATACGACCTCGCTGTACTATGTATTTAGTGCTAACTAAGAAATATTAATATAACATGTTAAACTAAGATGGTGAACATGGTAGCTATAAAAAATAACATTTTAGTATTGTAATTGTGGACATGTTAGTGCAACACTTAGGCAACACCATTTTACCAAATCATGGTACACGAACCTCTCAACACGTGCTACAAAAACTCTAAACTTCAATACTATTTTTAAAAAAGCAGAAAACAGCAGAAAACAGTTCTGCCAACATTTAGATTTTTTTTAAAAAAATCTTCAAATAAGTTATTTTACAAACAGAAAACTGAATTACGAATTAAGAATTTGAAACCCTCTTTCGGACCAAAACAAAATGTTGTCTTTATTTGGAGGTGGAAATGAATATACTATAACAAACTGAACAACTTGTTTCCTGTGTGTCAGAGCCATATACTCAGAACCTAAAGGGAAACAAAAATTACAAAATAAAACTCTACTGAGCTCCTTTTTAATCACATTTACTCAATATTGATAATTAAACCTTGTACAATCTGGTTAGACCACACTGTACTGATTTATAGCCATACCATAGAGTTCCAGCCTTTGTTCCTACCCGGCTCTTTACAGGGGGAACCTACCGGAAGTCGACGTTACCTCGCTCAGCGACGAAGTGTGAAGCGACTTGTACATTATTAACATCTACTTCAACTCTTTACATTTCACAGAGTAAGTATCTTTTGCACTTGAAAGCAATGTGGTCGGTAAGAATCGCTTATTTAGCTAAACGAGTGGCTAACATTAGCCAGCTAGCGTTAACCTCACGTTAGTGTTAGCCTGAAAGCCATTACAAGCAGCGTTAGCACGATAGCTGTGTCTTTGTAGAGAAAGCTTTTATTCGCTATTATCTTTAGCAAGTAACTTAGGTAGTAATTACAATCGCTTACATGCCTCAGAAGTCCCTCTTTTTTATGTCATTGTATCATCTGCCTGTATCTGGTTGACTTCTGCATGAACTTATATTTGTATTACATTCTTCCTCCTCCTCCTCTTCCTCTGTCCAGATCCTCTGAGACTCTCTTCTGAGCAAGAATGACAGACAGATACAACATCCACAGTCAGCTGGAGCATCTTCAGTCCAAGTACATTGGCACAGGACATGCGGACACCAGCAAGTGGGAATGGCTGGTCAACCAGCACAGAGACTCTTACTGCTCCTACATGGGACATTTTGACCTGCTCAACTACTTCTCTGTCGCTGAGAATGAGAGCAAAGCCCGGGTCCGCTTCAATCTGATGGAGAAGATGCTTCAGCCGTGTGGACCGCCAGCAGACAAACCCGATGATGCCTAGATCACACTGGAGTGAGCTGAGGATGATTTCTTTCTTCTTCTTTTTTTTCAGGATATTTTTGTAAGATTTCTTTTTTGTTGTTGGACATTGAGCTTGATTTTCTGTCTAACATATTGGATGTTACGCTCGTCTGAAATATCTGAAACTTCTGTACAGCTCTGCAGGGAAATTAGCTACGAAGGTGAAAGAAAGGAGAGTAGGACACTAATGTGTTCAAGATCCAAACATTCACCAGAGAAGATCATGAAAAATGTGACAAAGTTTCGTACGAACATCTGTCAGATATTTGTATTAACTGATGGAGCTGTATTCTTGATTTGAAATTTCTGTTTTGATTGAATTAAAATTGGTCTTTTTTTATGTTTGACTGGATTGCATTTGTATGTTTGTATATTTGATGGTTCATGTGCCAGATTAGTCAAAAAACAGCTGTTTTATGGTTTTAAAATGTAAACATTTCTCATCACAAAGTCACTACCCACAATACACTCACCGGTCTGTAGAGTTCATCAGAGCCAGTAAGAGAACAAATTAGTCAAATGCTTCAATATGAATTTGAGAGAGGAGAAAAAAAGATAAAGGACTAGAGTTCATACACCGTTAATTTGAACTGTTTTCAAGATTAGAAATATGCTTGAATTCGAATATACTCCTTGATATTCAACATAATCTGATGTTTTATCAGCACAATCACTGTTAAATGTAAACTATAACGTCGTAAATGAAATGAAAAGGGCATTTGTCAATAGTTTCTCCTTCTTTAAAAGGTAAGTCTTCTGTTGATCCCTTATTCTGGAAATTAGGACATTTGATGATCACAATCGAGACATACAATCAAAGTTAAAATGGTACAATAAAGACAATATACATTGATTACTGTCAATATAAAGGAATTGTGTAAAGACAATGACCAAAAAGAAGTTTGGTCACAATAAAGATATATTAAATGATGCAGCAAATACATACTGTATGTGAGGAAGACTGTGTGTATGTAGATAGATAAACATACAGTGCATAAAGCTTATCAGCTGCATATACTGCACGGCTGTATATTTCAGCAGTGAATTTGTTTGGTCTTGCAGAGTTGTCCACCTACACAGTCTCTCACGCACCACAGTCACACATTTGTATCCAATCATCCACCCACACATGTGAGTGCACACAGATCAGCTGTGCCTGTATAAACAGCCTGTAATGCCGTGTCCTAATTTACTCATTGTCAAGTAATTCATTGCATTGCCATGGGAACAATATGTCAGTCAAGTTATGGAAGAAAATCAGAGAACATCTTTGAAGAGGTGGCTGATTCCCATGTTCAGGGTTGATAGAGGTTGCTGGTACTTTCCATGTACAGGTCTGAGAAGCCAGTAAAAGCAATTTCAGAGTGCAAGTGAACTTCTCAAGAAGTTACGGTTTGAAAACTGCCATGAAACACAGCTCAGGGAAGACATTAAGAGACTTATTCCGGTTAGAATCAGTGTCTTTGATCAAGAGTGTTATGATGCCAGTAGAGATTAGAAAATGATTTTATAATGTAAATTTCCTTGGGGCTGGTTAAAGTAGAATACATGCTTGAAGTGACCCCTGTTTGGACTGAAGTGGGCAGCGGGCACCGAGGTTCGACTTGCTGACTTCAGGTGATTTATGGAAGCACGCCGACGGCCAATTTCACACACACAAATACAGACACTTGGTGGGAGAGGATGCTAAGCATGACTCATTGTTGGATTGAGAGACAAGTCAGTGGGAGCCAAGGAAGTTCTTGTGTTGTGCATCACGTCTGTGTGTGTGTGTGTGTGTGTGTGTGTGTGTGTGTGTGTGTGTTGGAGGGTTTCTTAGTAGGGTAAGTCCTTGCCATCTGTCCTCGCTGTGAGAGTCGTGTAGATGGTGCTGCCAAGTCAGGCGAGAAAGCAACGTGAGGTCTGTTTGTGCGTGCACGCACGCACGCACACACACACACACACACACACACACACACACACACACATACATTAAACACTCCCATAAACTGCTTGAGTTGTTCTCTCCGAGACACGAGCACACAAATAGATGTCTGCTCCCCGATTTCCAACAACATCAGCGGAGACAGACTCTCCTTTTTTAATATAAGGCTTTCAGGTGGGTGTACTTTGATTATAGGCACTCAAAGGCAGCTTTAACACCCACTTTGTAGTTGAGGCACTCACCTATACCTTCCACCTTGAGAGAGGTTTGATCATCACAAAGTTGTTGATTTAGCATGCTGAAAGAGAGATGGTTGGCCTTTTTTTTGACAGATCTTTTTTGGTTAACATGACAAATTTTTAATGCAACAATTCCCTTTTTTAAGTTTATTCTGAAGGCACCAGTGATAGAGTTTAAAGGGGGCGAAAAACCCCCATCTAACTGAAACAGCTTGTTCTATTTTGTCGATTCCTTCTGGAGTATTTCAAAGTGACTATAAATACTGTTTCCTGCCTGCCAACACACACATACACACTATAAAGACTTTTAGAGTACAGGGACATAAAAACAGTTTTGTATACTCCTAATACGTGTCATGTATTTGCAGTAAAAACTGTTTTGTTTCTGGAAATTAATGATCGCATATGAAATGAGGTGAATAAAGATGTTGAATACACACCAGGACTTCTAGGTGATGGATGGATCCTAATATAAGTCTTATGTTCTCTTCAAGTGTACACTCAGACTAGAAATAGTTTACACTTCAACTTTATACCACTGTGGTTTTGAAAGTGTTGATTTAAATTAACAAAAACTAAAAAGAAATAAACACAGCAGCTGTTATTGGAACAAGGATAAATATAATTTGGCTCAACGGACAAAAACAAAATTCCATGTTGCCCATCCATGTTTGTTTTGACCAGATGGTTCAACTTAATGCTTTTAGGGTTTCATAATTGATCCCCTTCTCTTAATCTGTCACCATTTAGCCCCACCAGTTCCCGTCATTCAGGCTATAGTCCTAAAAACAGCTTTTTTAAAAAGATTTGTTTTAAATAGACTAATGTTCATATTGCAGACACAAGTGACCCAAATCATTTTTTTTTTTTTGCTCATATGTGATCAGAACAGCACAAATCAAATCTGATCTTTTCCATTCTGATTTGGGCCACTTTCATACGTCAGATACAGGACTGACTTTTGCTATGCGACCTCAGTGTGAAAGGACTTTTACGTCATTCTAGAACTACGTTGGTCATGCAGGTCACTTCTGGACCTGTTCACACTGGAATCTGATCACATTTGACCACAATATGATCAACAAAAGAAAATAAATTAAGCGCTAATGTTTCCAGTGTGAATGTAGCCTGGATGTTTCCCAAAGAATCCTTATTGGAATTTGATTTATTATACTCCGTTATTATAGCAATTAATAATCATCTTGGATGTGCAGAACTTTTTCCTCACCTCATTTCACTCTGTTTTTCAAATTTCCGGAGGTACTCAATCCGACACCTACAGAGTGAAGATGTTCAGCTCAATTTGACTTCAGATGTCTTGTGATGTGAGGCTCCATCACAGTCATACTGAGGTCATTAAGTAAAGGCCTGCTTGAATATCTCTCAGCCCAATACCCACTGCATCGATCTCATCTCAAATGGCAACTCATTAGCACCTTACCTCTGTGACCCTGCAGTGTCCAATTAATTCTGTACTTCACACGAGCCTGTAAAGACTATAGACTGGCTGGAAACTGCAGTGGCATTGGTGGATGTTTTTTTTTTATGTATTTAAAAATGGTGCCCGACACAATGAATGGCATCTTTAAACTGCCACTTGGCCTTTCTGTGTTCATGCTGATGTGAGTGTCTCGTTTGGCTGTTAGTACACACTTGCTCTCCCCTCTGATTACACAGGAGCTCAGCCAAACGGTGAAAAGGTCCAGGAAGCACATTCACCCTTGTCAAATATGAATGCACCCACAATCCAATTATCTTTGCCCTACTCTGCCACCCACCTGTTTTATCTATCTATCTGCCTTAACTCTTTCTTCTATTGTTCTCCTCCACTAAACTCTTTCGCTCTCATCTTCTTCGCTGCTGACGCCTCCCCCTCCCCCCCTCCCCACTCCTCAGAACCTCATCGCTTCCTCCTTTTCTCCCACTTTCTGTTCCTTCCTCCATCTCGACTGTTCAGACACCAGTGGAGTGGAAACCTCTGAGATAAAAACACACAAGTGATGACTGCAGCGGAGACAAACACGTGAATATTTTCTGTGAAGATCGCAGCAGTGCGTGTCTGGCATCATTTTCTCCAACTAAATGCAAACAGAAATGGCACCCAAGAGGAGAACACAATTGAACGCGAGACTTTTATGACAGAATATTTTTCTCAACGGTATCTTAAATAGTTTTGTGCAATTAAAGTATGAAAGTTTACTTTGGATAATGGCCAATCCAGTTTTAAAAGAGTCTTTTTGAAATAAAGGGTTTCACCCACACCTCACTAAACAATTACTTTTTCATAAATCCACAGAAAATTAACAGCTTTTGATTTTGATTGTTTTTCTTTGCTGCATTGTTAATCTTTTATAACCTCACACTCACTTTTGCAAAGAGTGCAAGTCATTTGAGAAGTGGAATGACTGTAATATGAACAGTATGACCGCTCGGAGTAAACCCTCTAATATTCACACTTTCTGTGACCTCGCAGGGTATTAGACTGATGATTAATGGTCACCCTTTTCCAATTGAGGAGTAGACCTGCATTACGGCCGAGACCTCCAGGCAGTGTGCCAGGGACAAAAGTGCCTTCCTGTCCTGCCTGGGGAACTTCATTAACGAGGGGAGTGTGTGTATGTGTGTGTGTGTGTGTGTGTGTGTGTGTGTGTGTGTGTGTGTGTGTGTGTGTGTGTGTGTGTGTGTTTTACAACTTGTGTGACTTTTGGGGCTGAAAAGTAGAAACTTTTTGGAGAAGACTGGATGGTTAACACTTGAAAAAAAGGGTAAGTGAAATTTAAGATAAAGGTGAGGATTTAGGGGGTGAGTGTGGGTCCTCACGGCTGAAAGAAGTGTGTGTTTGTTTGTGTGTAAGAGAGAGCAGGAGGTTTATGATCACTGTGGTCCAGGAGGGTATCTTTCAGATATAAGCACCAGCTGCTACAGTTATATCGCTGTCCTCCTTTGCTCTATAAAACTGATTATCACCAGTCAGAAGTCAGAATAATATATATATATGTCAAACTAGGAAGCTGCTAAGGTCTGCGAGTGGGTGTACATCATGAGCAAATCAAAACCTTCAATTCACACCCTTGTCGCTGAGGTCAAGCTGTAGCATGTGTTTTAAAATAAACTCCAAAAACCATCAAGTTATCAGAGAGGGCCTGTAAAGTTGAAACTAAGCCCCGCTGCTGACTCACGTCTCTGACTGTCTCTCATTTCCTGCAATCTCTGTCTCTGCAGTCTCTTTCCGGTCTCTCGTTGTCCCTCGTCTCCTTCAAACTCTATAGTTCTCATTTCCTGGTCCTCTCCTTCAGAGCCAACTCCATTACGCCCACATCCTCTTTAAAAGCAGGTTCGTACTCGTGCGGCTGAATAGATAAGGCTGTAATTGGATACTTTGATGGTCATTCGCATAGAAACCAAAATATACACTCACTCAAAGGTTCAGAGATGTTTGCAACGCATGCACTCTAAGACCGCAAAATCCTGCATGGAAGGAAGCGTAAAATACAGCAGAAACAAACAACTCACATTCATCTTGAATATTTATCGGAAAACTATTTGGCAAAATGTAGTTTTAATGGCACGGCAGAGTAATGCAGTTCATCTCTCAGTCCTGTGTTTGTCAGATTGTGTTTGCATATTGTGGACTGAAGATGAATTTGAATATCGACTCACTGCTCGGGAAGCAGCTATTAGACTTACTGGAATTGTCCTTTTTTTGCATTTGTCAAATGAAAAGGATGTGTATTACAACATGCACAGGATTTTCACAGTTCCTTGCACTTGGTTGTATTAGAAGGCAACTGAGCCACAAGTGTAAAAAGATGGAAGGAGAAACATGCACAGACCAAATGAGACAGTGGTGATGCTCTCATTTTGACTTCAGTATACGGGGACATTATATACATTACCTTTGAGTCTGAAAAGAGTCTCTGTGGGACTGTACACCAGTGCTTTGGGCTAAATACTAAAATACTAACATGCTCACAGTGACAATGTTTACATGCATATGTTCAGCAGGTTTACAATATAGTTTAGCCTTTTAGCATGTTAACATGCTAATTCACTCTGCACTCACAGTAAACAACTACACAAGTACAGCTGAGGCTGGGCAAATAAAAATTCTGACCTGTTGGTGGCACCAAATGAAAACTTGAGGTTGATGCAGTTCATCCTGAGGGGAACATTTCACAGCAGTCCATCTAATAGTTGTTGAGACCTTTACCTCAAAACCACAAATGACAATCTTATGCCGCCAGAGAAAAGTTCACAGGATCACCAAAAGTCATAAGGATTCATCCTCTGGGCACAATGTACCAGATTTTGTGCCAATTTATCAAATAGGACCGAAGTGGTGGGCCAACTAACAGACCCATCGTCCCCTGAGCTACTGTGGCTAATAAAAAATACATATGCATCAGCTCACTTTGTGCAGAATCGTTTGTCCTTTTTTTTTAACCCAAGAGGAAAGTCAGTGAGAGCCAAAAGGAACAGCAAAGTTCAGAGCAGATTTATTATTAGAGTAATTACGCTGTCATCCTCAACAATTTTTCAAATTCAGGGCACATGGAAGAGAAGAGGATGAGAAAAGCCTTCTTCATTTTTTTTAATACCTTACAAAGGCTTAATTGGTACTAATTGCTACAATTTGGCATTTCCAGATAAGCTGTAAATTTAATCATAGTCATCCTCGGAACCCCTCTGAAAAAAAATTGGCTCAGTTTTTAATTAGTTAAATCTGCAAGGAATGATGTAATGTATTTAAAAATAAAACCCTACTGAGACTAAGTGTCTTGCTCTTTCTATTTCATGTCTTTGAATTGTGAATTAAGAAACGTGGCCTTCAAGGACTCTGAAATCTGCCAGCAATACTACATTAATAGAAAAGAGAGAAGGGGGATCAATTCAATTTCACTTCTTCTTACATGCTAGTTGGGCATGTGCAAATATATTATCTGGATCTTTCTGTGGAAACATGTTTTTTCCATGTTAGAACTGTCGTGTATTGAAGTATACATTTCTATTTATACATTCCTCTCTAATATGCTCAAGTCTGTTACTATTCCTAAAGTGATTAAAGAAAGAACAAAAAGACAAGATGACAAAACAGATGTTTTTCCACGATTCTTTATATACAAAAACAATATACAGTTTGGACGTAACAGTAGATGTTTTGGGGATATATGACATTATTCTACGACTTCAAAGATCAATCTTGTGTCAAACATACAGTAAAGGTGTTTGTGAAATATCCAGTCCTTTGCTGTTTCCTTTGGGTATCTGTTGTGTGAAAAGAAAATCAATGCATTTAAATTTGGAAGGTTTATAGTGTGATTCCCCAGCGAATGAATACCAAAGTGAGATGTCACAAGATCAAGAAAAGATTACACGTTGAAGATAAAGGGCTTTCGTTCAACAACAGCAGCAGTCTGATTATGGCCCTTGTCAGAAATTGGGGATCTGATTGGGGGAAGTGATAAAGGGAAGCCTCAAGCATCATTACAGCAGCAGAGATCCTCAAATGTAAACATCTTCATGAACTGGTGAGTCTCCAGTTCTGCAGATTAATTGTACAATTGTTAATTGTGTCAAAATGGCCACAAATTGTGGAATTATAGAGAAATGGCTTTTAAAATGTAATGACAATTACATGTTTGATATTATTCCATATTTTGCATTTGAAAGCGTCTTTGGGGTCTTACTCTCATTAAGTTTATTGTATTTATTTTACAGTTTCATACAAGATGAGATGAAACAGACTGCAGCCATTATCGTTTTTACAGTACTCGCTCCTTTAATACTGACTGGTTATGATTAAACACCAACTGTCAAGGCTCTCCCAAACTCTATACAGATACTATACATAACTCTGGACTAAAATATGGAATTACGCATCAGTGTTGAAGGAAAAAAAACAAGACTTAAAAGGTAGATGTGGTGACAGCCCAAATCAAGACTCCCCTGGCAGTACTTTCATTATTACAAAAGACACCAATGTTTTTAACCTAGATTTAAAAAAAAAAAAAAAAACAACAACAGGTAAGATTTCTAAAGCCTCTTATTAGCTAACACTATGTAACCTCTGTATTGTATTGATAAGCAGCATATAAACACTTCATAAATGATTTATAAATTGTAAGCAAATATATAGACATAAGTGTTTCTTAATGTATTTGGTCACCAATTAAAAACTTTCGGATTAAGCATCCGTAACTGGTGTATAAACAGCTAATGAATGACTGATAGCATAGTATAACATGACTGTTATCATAACTAACTCTTAGTGTTACAAAGCATTTCCTAAACAATCATTTGTACACATGTACAAATCATTCACAGACAGGTTTAAAACATTAGACATTATATAAGATTGCAAATATATTGCAAAGTATTCATGTTTATTCAGCAGTTGTGGATGCTTCATGAGGAGTTTAAGTTGTTAACAATACATTATTAAACACTTGAACCTGCAATAACTGATTTATGTGGCCACTTGGGAGCCGTGAAACAAGTTGTGAACACTGTATTGATAAATTGTTGTTGATAAAATCTTTTAGGTTGATATGGCGAATAGTTGCTTATTTACACATCCAGCTGTTACATTACAATTAATTTTGAGTTATTTCTGGCCACCCCATGAATGTAAGTCCTTAATATTCACTCTTTTAGCTCAGGTTTTGGTCTTTAGCCGCTCCTGAGGACATTATCTTTAGCTGCTGCATGCTCCACTATCTTCACCAGCTAGTCGGTAACTGTGGGTGCTGTGGCCGAAAACAACACGAGCAGTGATAGTGAACCAAAACATTGAAGTACAATGAGCTGAAACTCACTGTAAAGCTCGGTAAAGCTGGGGAGAGCTGCAGATTCAGGTGATAATGCCCTGTAGGTTCATCCCTATTGACACTGTCACTTCATATATCATTAATTATTGTTATAAAAATATCAGTTATAGCACCTTTAAACGTCTTTATATCTGCTTACACACCTACATAACCTTTTACTCATTGACTATATACTGCTTAATAATGCTAAATAGGCTGGGTTAAAATAAATGTTACCGGTTACGCTTTATCTGGATTAATGTATTGTCTTTTTGTGATGCAAGCAGCATATTTACATCGTCAGCCATGACGGAAACAGAGCTCTACCACAAGGTAAGACTTTAAATTTGTGTATAAAAAAATAAAAGAGCTTTCTGGTCTTTTATCACAGTATTTGCTGTTGGTGTGCACCGTGTTCACCTTTACAGAAGCTAATTTCACACTACCGCTCAGACTCATGTTTACTTTCAGATTATTTACTGTACCTAAACCCATGTAGTTAAAAATTGAGCATGTTTATCATGATTAAGCTTAAAGTCACATCCATCCGGTTTTTCTAGTTTGTGCAGGATGCACTATGGTCATTTGACGAAATGAATCAAAAGGAGAGGTCCAGAAAGGATTATAAATTGCTTTTAACTGAGTCACCATCCATGAAATACCCGCTGCATTGCACCTGCTGACTTCAGTTGAAGTGGAGGTGGAACGAATACAAAATAACCAGAGAGAGATTTATCACTACCTATATAATGTCTTATACATGGTCTGCTTAGGAAACAGATAAGTTTGGTAAAGGCATGACAATTATTTTACATACTGTGATTAATATGCTGCCTAAAAACAGCACTTATATATGTGATGAACTGTTAATCTCATTACAACTGACTGAGGATGATAAAAAAAAAAAAAACAAGACAATTAAAATCAGAGCTTAAAACATTCACATCAAAGTTCTATTGTATCATATTGGTAGTAAAATTGATTTCAATGTATGCACATGCTCGATATACATTCTGTACAAAATAATCAATATATAACAACATACATATTGACATTATTGAATACTGTTGGTTCTTTTCCATCGCTGTACATCACTTCATGTTACAACCTATGCACATTCAGAAGCAGGAAGAATCAATCTGTCCTTTTCTTTACTTTTTGTTAGGATGACGAGGGTCAGAGATCTAATACGAGAACACAAGCCTTCGGACGTCAGCAAGCTCAATCTGTCAATCACTTTTCAGCAAACAACTCCTTTATAGTCCAAATACGCTGGGAGGAGAAAGAACGTTTTGTTTAACTTTTATATCCACTGCAGTGAGTAAAGGTCCCAGCTTCTTATATTAGTCCTAACATATTTTAGAGAGAAAGTTATAGGCTCCAGTTTCTTTTAGTCAGCCAAACATTCTGGCATTCACACAAAAACAAATCATTATTAATTGATCGCCTCTACATTTTGCATTGATATACGTCACGAGTATCTGGATTCTATCTTGATGAATCACTTAGAAGCAGAAAATCTATAAATGCACCAAACTGTGATACAAATGTCCAAAAACCATAATTCCACACATACACCAACTTTCTGTGTATCTGCACATTTAAACAAAAGTAAATCCTCTTCAGTGTAGTTAAGTTGTTGTGCAGCCAACACTGTTACCTATTTGTCTTTAATCTCCTAACAATACAATTCAATCCAGACTTCTAAAAAGAGTGCAAATACAAATTGAATCCCAAAGAGCAGTGGAATATAAAATAGGTTGAAATGCTACTTCATAACCTCCCGTGGGCCAGCTTAGATCACTATAAGACGCATTAATGTTTTAACTTTGCCTTACATGTGATATTAAAGGAATAGTTCACCACTTTGAGAAATAGCCTGTGCGCTAAATATGAAGCTACAACCAGCAGGCGATTAGCTTAGCTTAGCATAAAGATTGGAAAGAGGGGGAAACAGCTAGGCTGACTCTGTTTAAAGGTTAAAAACATGTATCATATATATATTTAATGTTTATAAAAACTGAAGAGCCAGTTTATGCTAATCCAAGCTAATGGCCTGTTTTCTGTAACTCTATATTTAGCGTACAAAAATTAGAGTGTACATTTACATTTTAGCGCTTCAACTAACAATTACTTAGACAATCTGTCCATTATTTTCTTTATTAATTGATTTATTGTTTCATCTATAAAATGGAAAATTCCCATTATAATTTTCTAAATTCAATCTGAATTGCTCGTTTTATCCAGATCCCTATGGTATTCAGTTTAATATCATATATGACAAAAACAGCATCAAATCTTCACCTGAGCAGCAACAGTTTTGTTAATTACTGAAATGACTGATCAATTATGACATTAGTTTCAGACTAGTTTCCTGTTGACTGACTAATGAAATTACCTGACACATTTTTCTAGTGTATTTCTGCAAATGTTGAACAATTCCTTTAAATTTTCAGGTCCATGATAAATTCTACAGTTTGGAAGCCAAAAGAGAAATGGATCTGGATTCAAGGTGCATGTTAGGACAAAGCGTAAAAGGGCTACTTGTCACCAAGTCTCTCCTTACATATCTATCACAGGCTGACAGTTTGAGAAAATGGAAAATAAAGTACCTCCACTTCTTCTTAAAGCCTGTTGAATGCTTCAGTGGTGAAACTCTCAGTGCTTATTCTCATTCATAAAACCTTTATATGAAGTCAACAAAATCGAACCTGTAAACGTTCAAATAAGGCCAAAATACAATCAAATTAAATTCCTGCTTTTTTCTTTGGCACCAAGTCACTCTGAGTAAGAGCTCCAGCCAAAAGCCTAAAATAAAAAACTGAAGTCAAAGCCTTCTAAACAGCAAGTCCAGCACTTTGTGATCAGAGATTTGCACTTAATAACTCAACACAGGATATATGATGGTACATGATCATTATGTATCATCAGGAAGAGCGCTGAGGGATTGGAATTGGCTAGAATTTAAATGATTTTCATTGCACTTCACTATTAAAGCCTCAGGTTTCCACCGAACTCTCAGCTTCAGCAGTTATAAATACAACACTCGCAGGCTGTTCTTCATCTACATACACATCTCTGTACTTACATTCTATAACTCTTATAATATAATGCCCTCTAGTGGCAATATACTTTAAATATGTCTAAAAATGAACTGCAGTATTTCAGATTCAACTCCAAGAGGCACATAGGGGCAGAACAAACTGCCTCTCCTCCCCTCGGATCTGTGACATAGGCACTGACATCAGCACACAACCATCCAATCGCTCCCATTTCCTGGCCTAGGAGGATGCCCATATTTGGCCATTTGGCAGTTTACGTCAAGGCATACCTTCGCAAGTACACAAACTCAAAGTACAATTGAGCCACATTCACTACTACGAGGGTCATTTTGCCCATTTTTCCTCCATTGAACGTCTCATTACAAGGCCGGAAGTGAACCAAAAACAGACAACAACAAAAAACCAATCACATACCAGAAGGATCTGGCCATCTGCAATAAATAAATGGTTCTAATCAGAATGCTATAGACACCATTGATTTTAGATATGTGCAAATGTTTCACTGGTGTCCATTGCTTGGCCAAGGCCTTAAGACACACCTGTAGCTGTCAAATAAACATATCATCAGGTGCAAGAGGATCCCAAAGCAAAGTAGACTGAGCTGTGTACTGAGGGTCTGGAGGGCCGGGAGACTGCTGGGAGCTGTGGACCGGAGAGCTTGTGGTGCTGACGTCCAGCTGGCAGTGAGAGCGCTCAGGGCCGATGGAATCTATAAAAAAACACAAACACACAGGCTTTAATTCAAGAAAATATAATACACACATAAACGAGATTAGACTATAAAGCAATTAATACAGATGACTTTTTGTTTAGATGCCTCTGTTGAATTCTACGGAGCCCCTAAAGGGACATGGGAAAAAAAAAGAAAAAAGAAACGTTTCTAGTGAGCACTAGATACTATCTTGTGCAGATTCCGTGTTGTGGCGAATCAATACATGGCTAATTTTAATATTCAAATGAGTATTAAACTAATTTGTCTGTAACTAAAAAATAAATGTAAATTAATCTGTAACCTTTTTTGTTACAGTCCGCATTTAAATGCCCTGTCCTGCAGCTGGACACTCATTTGTCCTCCTTTTGAGAAAATAACAAAAATGGTCTGCCTTTTGACACATTACCTTGTTAGTTTAATACTTATTGGCTTAAAATGTGTGTCAAAATAAGTAATTTCATTGGTTACATTTTCCTGTCCTGACCCATCAATACATGGCTAATTTTAATATTCAAATGAGCCATGTGTTGATTCGCCACAACACGCAATCTAGTGCGCACAAGATAGTATCTAGTGGCACTAGAAACGTTTTTTTTTCCCCATGTCCCTTTAGGGGCTCCGTAGAGTTCATTGTATCTTGCAACGTTTTTAAAGTTTCTGTCACTGTAGAGCAACAATATACGAACATACAACGTAGTTTAAGCTTAGGCTACGTGGATTGCTTTCAAAAGCGTTTGTTTGTAGGAGTTCTTGATAAAGCTGGAGATATTCAAGGCAAAAAATTACTTCACTGCTGCTATGTTTTTCTCTCTCCCATATGGATCTTCAACAGGCACAAAAACATTCCTCAAAAACCTGCCCTTCGAAAATGAATTTATGTTTCCATGAGCTGCTTCCAATGGCTTTAGAGAATGAAAAGGTACTGGAGGTAATGGAAAAGAGTGTTCAGTGCACTTTTGTGTTTAAACTGCGGCCATACATTTATTCTTTATATAATTATCAAGATGTGTGCTCCTGATGCAGCTTGACTTGTCAAAATACCTTGGTTAAGCTAAAGCAGTACAACATACAGAAGAGTGATTTGCATAAAAAAACCCCAGTGCAATTACTAATGTATCCCTTGGAAGTAGCAAATATCAAGAAACGTCGACTAAAGGTGAAGAATTTTTTAACAGGTATTAATGTTAGTTTTTACTGACCGACTAACTGGTGGATACACTATAACAACATGTTACACAGATCCAATAACATATAATCGAGTGTGCTTTAACTTTATTGGCAATCGATGCCTGAGGCTAATGAACTGGAGTCGACCCAGGTGTATATGATGACTTTAATGTGGTTAGAGGAAATGGCTTTGGGCAACCAGAATAATATAAATATTGATCAATGTGAGCTAATAAACAGCAGGATTTACGGTGATAAATTACTAATGAAGCGTGAGTTATCGCCAGAGTCGAGTTAAATGGTGGAGGTCATCGACCGCTCGAGTACCTGGTGAACTGTTTGCTGTCTTCATGAACCTCCATCTCTCGGCTCTTAAACTCATTCAGCTCCTTACGGATAGCAGCCTGAGGGGTAGACACACACACAAACACACAAGCACACACAATGATAAAAATTCACGCAGCAGGACAAGGCCACCTGTCTCTCCCCATAGACACATCAAAACAGCTATTACTCAGTCTGCTCTAATCACATCCACTCTGTGGCCTCTCATTTGGACTTTTTTAGCTCTTCTTGCAGAACTTCTTTCCATAAATCTGCGCTGCTGCAGACTTCCCCACAATTCACAGTTTAATGTTCCAATGTTGACAGACAAAAGTTAAAAAGGTGCTGGTAAGAACAATTTTATATGTACACAGCAGTAAACATTTGTCTTGTTCTTTGTTTGCACAATTATGTCGATTTGTGTCATTATCAAACAATATTAATAACAATTACATAGGATTTTCATATTTATTTGGAAAAAAAACGTTTGATGTGCCACAGGTATGATAAGTCCTGTCCCTCATACAGCATTTGTCCTACCCTCTTGCACTGAAGCACTTGTACTAATTATGCAGGTAATGCCAAATAAACCCGGTGAGGGTTCAGTGTTTAGGGTTGACACTGGGACTAGGGATTTCTGTGTGTGCTGTGTAGTTATAAACATGAACAGCAGAGGGCAGGGCTTGACATAGAGACTGCCCACCAGCACACACCAGGGGGGCCTTTCTCCTTCTATGAGGACAGAGGACATTTGTACAGTAGCCCTGGTACATGCATGCACATTTTTTTCAGTATCAACACGTGGATTTCATATGCAACATACGCTGTATGGTCAAAGTTATGCATTGTTTACATTTGGTCTGGGGCTGTTTTTCATGGTTTAGTCTGGGTTAAACCACTGAGTTCCAATTAAGAGATTAATGCTTCAGCATACATGATATACATGATATTTAAGACCCAGGGTAAAAATAAGGTTTTCTGAGTTTGGTGTGGAAGAATTTGACTGCACAAAGCCAACTTTAGTGCCCAACCTCACTAATGCTCATGTGGTTGAATGGGAGCAATCCCTGCAGTTATGTCCAAAAACCTTGTATAAAGTGTAATACCCAAGGTTTTGGAATAAAATATTCAACAATTGCATATGTGTGTAATGCGAAATATGGTGTCCACATACATTTGGCCATGTACTTTGACGTCCTGTAACTGCCTGTAGTACACTTACAAGCACCACAGATTAGTGACAGGCTTATAAGTTGATAATATAATAAGAGAAAAAAAAGCAGTCAATCAAACAAAAAAATCCTGATTTTACAATGTAGTGTATTAACTGTAGCACCTTGTCAGCGGGAGTAAGCCGTGTCCAGGGTTTGTCTGCCCGCCGGTCATAATCCTTGGCGTCCGTTACCTCCACGTACTCATTAAAACGCAGGATCCTGCGAGCTACGAGCTCTGCCACTGTGGGCCTCACACTCAGCTACACACAGAAAGGGGGAGAGAAATTAGACTATAAAAGTCAAAATGAAGAAAGGAATTTATGTTATATTAAAGTCAGTAACATGCTGTATGTGTGTTAATACGCTGTATTCATTCTTTAAAAATTTTTCCAAGAAGCAACTGTGATCTTTTATCACAAGAGCTAGAGATACAGAAAACGGCCACCTAACGTCTCAACTGAAAGAAGAGTTTCAGTTCCATCTGTGTCCACTAGATGGACTTATCTCTCCGCACAAAGCATCTTTTCTGCCTCCTAACATGACTCATAAGGTGGAGCAAAACATATTAGCAGCTAAATATAGACTCACTCTGTCCTTTTCTGTTCTAGCTTATGTGTGTGTAGGGTTGGTGTTTACAGTACCTTTCTGGAGAGTCTCCTTTTAATCTCCTGCTTGGCTTCTTGCTCTTCTGCTTCATTCTTTTCTGCATGCAGAAAACCAAGAGTCATTTCACACCCTCTGTGCCTGCAACAAGCTTCTGCTTCTATTTATAACGGCAAGATGTGTTTCATATTTAATCTTGCCCGTGGTTATGAAGCGGTGCGAGTGCCCTAACATATACAAAAGCAAAGGGGGATAATTATGTCCTTAGATGTCCTCTAGAGACACAGTGAATCATTGGAGTTGAATATGAACAGCATTCACTTTTGTGTCATCTTCATGGATGTACAGTATATGTGTGTGTGTGTGTGTGTGTGTGTATAAACAACTTGGCCTGGGATGCTGGTAAACTCTTTGACCTCTAGTGGTCCCATCAGAGATTGAAATAGAAGCCATCTGGGATTCATAGCACAGAAACCAGTCACCTAACTCTTTCCCATAATCAGGACAACTGTGTAGGACTACTTTTTTTTTGTCTGTGTCTCTTACCTCATTACAATAAATATCAGTCATCTTCCTGCTGAAGTTGCAAAAACCGGCTTATCTTAACATCTGGTTACAAAGGTACACACAAGCTAACGTGCCCTGCAAAGTTTTTTGCTCCAGTTTTAACAAGACACTTTAACCCTCTTTCTATCAGTATCACTGTCGCCGTCAGTTGTGAAGGTGAAGGTTCATTCTAGCAGTTGCTGTAACAGCTGCTGTATATTTAATTACAGCCTCAAAGAACTGGAAGTGTTCACTCATGGATAAACTTTAGATCCAAATGGAGGAACCTGGTCAGAAACAATGTTCAAATAATTTGTAGTTATGTTATACTGTTGTTGTAATTATTTCCCTACAATATACCACCTAAGTATTGGATGATATCTGACTGTGTTTTAGCCACTGGATACAAACTGGTTGATTGTGGACTGCTTGCATTCATTTTCCACTTAGCATAAAGCAACAGATATTACATAACTACTCAGTCTTTAGCAGGACAAAATGCTATTTGAATTGGCTCAGTTACGCCAAGAGCAAAGCGACTGTGAAATCGTAACACTCAAAGCTTTAATGCCTCTTTTAAGTCTCTGAAATGCAAAGCTGGCATAAAAATAAATAAAAATGAGCAAGCAAACCCTCAAGCTGAATGATTTAAATCCTGCTTGGTAACATGACATACAAATTTTACTAAATATTTAGTCTATTTAATATTTATTTAAGTGGGTATGTAGTGTGTGTATTGTGCATAATGCAGCCTAACCGACTGACCTGAACTAACTTAACTTTTATTAGTGGGGTGACCAAAGTAATGATGAAAAATCAGTCTATCATTCCAAATTAGAGGCAGTCTCTAAAATAACACAGACCTCAGCGTGGCCAATCACATCGGTTCAGCTCACAAAGCTTCTAATAGACAGTAAATCATAATTTAGACAGGCATATCGGTCTCATCTATCTGATTGATGAGACTCACAAGGTCGTATCTGGCACGCTGTTGCTGCGTGTTGTTGCAATTATGACCTGTGCGGACCTTCTCTTTGTACCAGGAATAAAAATGGACAGCTTCTGCGGCTGCATGTTGTAACAGTGTGTTAACATTGGCTTTCTTAGATTTTTTTTTTTTACTGGCATGTATACACATCCCCACCACGTATCAGAGGTAGTGCAAGGCGTTAAATTGGTTAGGTGTGAATACATTTTCAGCAAGTTTGGAATTCAAAGTAGCTCCACAGACATTTCCATGCAACCATACTGACTCTTCCTCGATATTGTCATTGCAAAAAAAACAAACATCTGAGCTTCTAAACATCACGATAATCATAAAAATGTTGCATCGCGTCACCCCTCAGTTTAATAGTGTCTTCCAGATAACTTACGCTTGAGGATGTTTCTCTGCTCCAGCTCCTCTGTGGTGGGTCTTTGGCTCAGGCGCCTGGAAAGAGAAAACTTGTGTTCACATACTTCTCTACAAGGAGCAGATAGGAAATGATTTAAACCTTACACAGTGACTTCTACAGAAAAAACAACAAGAATTATCACAGTAACACCCTTTTTTTGTTTTAATCCAAAGGCTGTTTGCCACCAGCCTTTTCGCCTCATCTGGTAGAAAAAGTCAAAGTAAACTTCAGCACAGCTTTTAACTGTGCATCATTTGTACCAGTACACCGCCCACAACTACACCAGAAAGTTACCCCACATCTCCGCCAAATCTATGATGATGAAAATTCACACCTAGATTCATTTTCACACCATGCTGAGAGTGTGTGTATGTGTGTGTGTGTCTGTGTGTGTGTGTGTGTGTGCGCGTGTGCGTGTGTGAGTCTGTACCTGACTAGTTTGCTGCCTATTTGCTGGCGAAGCTCGTGTCTCTCTGTCTCGGAGCTCCGAGGCAGAATGTTTTTCTCCTCTAGCTCTTTCTTGCTAGGTCGGTTCCCCAGCTTGATGTTCAGGGTGTCTCGTCTGCGGATCTTAATTGCCAGAGAGCCTGGAACAGAGAAGAACACAGAGAACTAGTCACTGAGGGCCTTGAAACAACCTGTGTGTACATCAGCTGCAGATAATAATAAAGCATCAACCGCTGCAGCCATTCAGTGATGATACATGTCTTATGAGTGTCCATCGTGGATAGAGAGTAGTCACAATCATTTAAACATAGAAATTATGTTCAGGTATGACTTCATGACACAGTCTGCAATCAACCCTCTGACAAATGAAGATAGACAGATTCAGTCTCAAAACCCTAGTCTGACACTGGCTTTGGGAGAAACATCACTAACTAAACTTACAAAGCACTTTAGTTGAACCTCCACAAGATGCATGTGAAGTTTTCAGAGTAGTAATTAGGCTCTAGCTGGCATTACTTTTTAGAATTTACTCGTTCATGATTATCAATTTTAAAAATAGCTATCCATGATTTCTTGCACTGAAATTGAATAAAATACATAATTTGATACAATTTTGAAATTATCACCACACCCTGAAAGTCACTATTGTCACTTCTTCTGTTCAAATGGATGAAAATTTAATTATACCACAAACTGCAGGTGACACTGACTTGTCAGGATGTTCAAACTGCGTGAAAGAACAGGAAGAACATAATGAACTGCTAACTCAGCGTCATGCTTCTTCCTTCCAGTTTTAGGCCAGCATTTGAAACCCATTACAAAATAAATAGCATATTCTTAATGAAATGATCTGTAGTCATGTGGAGCTTCTCTAAAATGTTTTTCAATTATTGTGTGATGTGTTAAAAAACTAATGCCATACTGGTTGTGTACTCGTCTTCCTCCTCGTCCTCCTCATCGCGGTACAGGATTGGTCCATCGGAATCAGAGTCACTAGTTTGACTGTCTCTCGGCCTATCAGGGATCACCGTCACCTCGGCCTTCTCCGTGTTCACGCTGAGGCCCTGCGGCTTTTCAGCCTGGCGCTCTGCTGACCTGCAGGAAGCAATAACAAGACATTTGTTGCAATAGAACAAATCCAGAAATTTGTAAAGCTGGTTTCACAAATTATTAATACATTTCCTTATTGCACACAATTAATTCAACCCATTGCTTAAATGAAAATCCGTATTATCAAGTGACTCCAGTGGTTATGTAATGTGCTCTAGAAGTATCAGACTGACAAGCAGAGAAGACAAACATAAGGCATGTTTCAACAACTCTTCTGTCTCTACTAGATTTTTACCTCAGGCAGTTCTCCACAGCAGACGCCATTTCTCCTTTCTTCTTTTCTTCTTCTCCTCCCTCCCCTCCCGTCCTCCCCCGTCTCTCTCCCTCTGTGAAGGAAGTGTCCTCGGTAGCAGAGTTGATATGGGGAGACTGGACTGTGGGATCAGGAGCCATACCTTTGTGGGTCTCCTCACCCGCAGCAGTGGCTTTGGGAGCAGATTTAGGCTCGAGACCAGGCTGAGCAGCAGCCTGTATTCCCTCTGTCTCATTGCCTGAGGCTTTCGACGAGGCAGGCTTGGTGTTTGAGGAGAGAGGCGAGGATTTTAACTCCCCGGGCTGGCTAGGAGTCTCTGCAGAGCCCTTTTGAGGTACAGGGGAAGAGGTGGGAGTGTCTGATTTCCGGTTGGTCCTTGCATCTGTCCCACCAGTCTGTGCTGCAGCGGCGTCGTCCTTAGTCGCACGAGAACGAGGGGTGAGGGTGGAGGCAGCAGTGGTTTTTGTTGTGCATCCTGCCTTCTTTGGATGGGAAGGTTTAGCTGGGGAGAAGCAGGAGCAAGAAAAAGACAGATGAGAATCAGGAAAATTTTGTTTTCTTTCCTCCAGGTGCTCCAGTTTCCTCCCATAGTTTGAAGACATGCAGGTTACACAGACCTTTTATTATTTAAAAAGCAAAGAAAAAGGGGCTTTGGGGAAACATCAGAAATGCTTCCTTTTGTCTCATCCGGCTGGATGGGGCCGTCTGTGTCGATTGACAGCAGCATGTAGGCTGAGCCTCGGTGGGGAAAAGTAGACAAACTCACACTACAGCCAAGAAGTCATGTGCAGACAGTGTGCCGTTAGCAGTAGTATTGAAAAGTAAGAACCACACAATATGTATGTGCAGGAAAGTTTACATGCTGTTTAATGTGCTGCACCTGAGCAGCTAATTAGCCATATAGCCTACAAACAGCTAACGTTTTATTGGTTGCTGGTTCAACAACCTTAAAAATGTGCAGGACAAAATGACTGTTCACGTGAGTAAGTCAGATAAGAAGTAGACTCTAGCATGAACGCTAATGAGCGTTGTAGTTCAAAGTCTTCAAACCAAATATGGTTTCAGAGCTAGCAATTGGATTGGCTATATGTGTGGACGCAAGTTCTCCAGCTGCGTGGACGGAGAACTAGAGGTATTTTGTATTCATATTGACAATTGTCATTGACTTAGAATTTAATACACTAATCATTTCAGCCTTAGTCTACACTACATGTGCATCCCAAGTATTAGAACATGCTGTCAGGCATAATAGTTCAGTATTAAAATAACTCCATTTTTGTGACACTGTGACAAATATAGAATACCTAAGGTAATACTAGCTGAAATAGTCCTCCAAGTGTCTGTGAAGTGTCTTTGTGTGCTGGTAAAAGCAGCCCGAGGAAAGGGATGAACTTAAAATGTTATTAAAATACTAATGAAACAACTTTTGTCCCACTTCCCAAATAACTCAACATAGAGGCCTTCATAAAATACAGCATGAACATCACATGCAATATTCTGGGCTCCGTGCTACGCAGTTTCAACATGCTGTAGGTTAAAGAACACACACAAACGCCCGCGCGCACACGCACACACACACACACACACACACACACACACACACACACACACACACACAGAAGGGTGATCATCATTCCCTAGCATCATGCTATCAATCAAAACCACATGAGCTTGTCAGAGTTCATTTTTATGAAGGCCATGCTACACTGACCTCACTCACTCTCATGTGCTCTGTGTCACACACACACACACACACACACACACACACACACACACACACACACACACACACACACACACGCCCGCACACACGCCCGCACACACGCCCGCACACACGCCCGCACACACGCCCGCACACTGTAGGGGCATTTACAGAGCTTGACAAATAAATCTTCACTTCTGCTTTCTCAGAAAACAGACAGAGAGATCATAAACAAACCACTTCTACAGTTACTCACTTGACTGGAAATCTCTTCTAATGAGCAAAGGACACTACCAAAAGGGAGAAACAGTGAAATACTATTTTGTAGCCACTTGACAGAAACTTGACTTGACTGCTTCAGATACATGAGTGATGTGTTTTACGGGTGCAGACGACTTGTTGTTTCCCTTCAAACAGTGACACAAGCACATTTTCCATGCAGGGAGGCAGGCAGGCAAGAACACGGACAGGCCTCATTCCCAACTAGCTTAACTTACCAATCCCGCGACTAGTGTTGTTAGTGCTCCGCGGGTTAGCTTTAGCTTGAGTGGATGAGCCTGTCTTGCCTGTGGTTTTAGTGGTCTTTTTAGTCCCTGAGGCACCGTCTCTGTGCCGGGTTGCGGCTGCGGTGCCACCCGCGGGTTTGGAAGAGGCGGGCAGAGTGGCACTTTGCTGTTTTTTAGCCTGAACGTCTCGAGGTCGCACCTGGTTTCCCCGGACAAGGGGTTTAGTATCACACCTCTCTGAGCAGATCAGAGGAAGCAGGAAAGAAAAGTATGGTATTTAGAGGTTAAAAATATAGATTTGAAAGCAAGATGAAAGACGCACATCTGTGTAAACAAATCCACAAATGGACATGCAGACAAGCAGAGAGAGAGATATTGAAAGATAAATGGTGAGTTGGACAGAGCTAATGATGATGATGGACGATGTTTAATCTGTTAGTCTTGAGCAGCTTTTTTATTATATCAAAATGAATAATGTATAAGGCTTGGGATATGACAGATGTAATGCATTCCCCATCCTCCAGTGTGAAGGCATGTTGGTTCTGCTACTGTATTTCCAGTGTTTGTTGCCAGGGGGCTTTGTGATTATTGACAAATGAAAAAAACAAATGGCTCCAAGTTCAATGCTAACAGGGTTGAGATAAGAACGGCACAACACTTAAGCAACATCAGACAGAAGAGCAGTGGCCTGTCTCCTGAGGGAGATGGAGGCATTAGGAGATGGCTACTCCTCTTTTCAAACTGCGAATGCATGCTGAAGGCTGATATAATGGGAATATCTATTTGAACACATTAGACCTGGTCAGAGATTCCACAGAGGATTCAATGTCAGCCAGAAAACTGCTGCTAATACAAATGCATTCCTCGACCGAAAATTCAAAGCAACCAGCGTCTAAAAAAAGCTTCAACATTTTTAGTTCTAGCATATAAAAATGGAATCGCTAAAAGGCTGTTAAAGTCCCACATTCCAGAGTAACATGACATGTTTCAACGCTTTCTGTTGAATGAGCTGAAAGAGTGAATCCACAGTTGTAATTACATTTGTTCAACTAAATGATCTCCATGCTCATTCATAAGCTTGAGGCATAAAATAGTTTCATGATCATTATAATAAAACTGGAGAGTACTGGAAAGTTTTTTTTTCTTTTACGCCCCAATTATAATCTGTTCTCTTATTTTTTCCTTCTCTGTGTAGAATTTCTTCATTCAACCAACACTGTACCAATATTAACATCTCTGCGGGTCATTTGTGCTTAATCCAACGTGTGGCCCCTTGGGATATTCACATAGTAACTCTTAGCCACTTCTAATATTGAAAATGGAAGTTGATCACATTCAAAACCCTAAATAAAAGTTATTTCTCAGTGATGTTTATACTATGCTAGGTCTACAGCCTCAACTAGTACAGAGATCCAAAAGTTAAGAACTCCAATTAGTCTGAGATTCGAGTAACTCAAACAGACATTACCTTTTTTGTCCTCGGTGCCGACGGGCCCGGAGGCCTGTTCCTCCAGCGTCGTTTCTGGAGACTCAATGTGAACTTTGACCTCCTCTGATGTCACACTGGATGTGGCATGGCCATTCAGATTTTCACTGCTGATTGTTTCCTCTAGAAGAGAAAAACAGTTATTGTAACAGACTCTTGCTCCTCACCTGTTCAGTAATGTTCAGTTGTAAAGTAGCTGAAAACAGTTCTGAGTTGTGTAATTACAGCTCCATCATGGGACAATCTGGGTCATTTTGAATACTGATCGGCAGCATAATCCAGTTTTTTTTATCCCCCAAAATCAGCATATTAATGTTTTTCACAAATGGAATAAATAAATAATATAAATTAATAAAGAAACGTGAATAACTGATGAGACAAACCTTGGTCAGGGATGAGAACTCCTTTCCTGATGAGCTCCTCCCTCGTTTGTCTGGTGGAGATTTTTCTTTCCAGAACTAAAGGATGAACATCACAGTCAGTGTTTGATTCAACGGGGGAAGGGGGTGGGTGGGGGCTACAGCACAGAAAGAATCAGAAAAGCATCAAACAACAGCTGCTTTCAACAACTGTTGTAGCTCTAAAACATCTTGAGAATGAAATCGCAACAGCTGAGTCACCAACTGATCATGCTCAGAGCAGAATTAGAGCTGAAAAGATTAGCCAAAACATCAATTAGGCAATCCAAAAAAAAAAAAAAAATGCTACTATTTGGAGAAAAAAGATGATCTGATTTCAACTTCTCGAATGTGAAGATTTGCTGCTTTTCTTTGTCATATGCAAACTGTTTCGGGCAGATGGCTGGATGAAACAAAGAACTGGAACCGACCTTAGCTCTGGGAAATAATAATTTCCTTTTTCCCGATTTTCATTTGACCATTAGATTCATCCTTACACACAAAACTCCATAAACACAAATAATACTGAACCAATGACCGAACAATTGTATGTCTATGTTTGTTTTCGCTTCTAAATACATACATAAATACATACATACATACATACATGGGTTTAATTTTGTAAAAAAATTTATAAAATTGCATTTCTATAAAATTATGCCACCGTCCATATCTACCACTCAGCAAGGTAATATTGAACATTTAACACAGGTTTCTACCTTTAAATACCAAAGAATTATTGGGAATCCAAATTAAAAAAGATGGCTGGGAATCCAAAAGAGCGTGTTAACATATAAGTAATGCAGTTGACACCCCTGAGCAAGGAGAGAGGAGGAAACATTAAACACTCTCTCACTCTACTAGCTCTCTAGCTACATGTGCTCTCTGATGTCCAAAAACTTGATAAAATTATTATTTTTTGGCTTCACACCTGGACAGTAACCATGCATTAACTAGAGGGATATGGAGAGATTAAACCTTCATGCAGATACATAATGGGAAAAAAGTCAGATACACCTGGCAGCTATGAAGGGTCTCTGCTTTTTGTATTTAGTTCTGTTCCCTTTTATTTCCCAGCCAACACTTCAGGAATTAATCAGGGAGAGCTACAAACAAACTGTTCACTCTTTTCCTTTTAAAGTTCTCCTGGGAGCAACACTTATCACTTGTTCATACAATGTCACTGAGATACACAAACAAATGCACGCGCACGCGCACACACGCACACACGCGCGCACACACACGCACACACACACACACACACACACACACACACAGCCCTACCTTTGGAAAGATCCTGGAACTTGTCGCTGGTCTTCTTCTTCCTCCACTTCCAGGGTTTGAACAGTTTTCCTAGAGATGACAGCTTGCCTCGCTGCTGCCGTGACGCAGGGGCATTCTGGGTGTTGGTGGCACTGTCCACCACCACGTCACAGCTGGCCAGTGATGAGGATTTCTCCAACCCATCAACTACAAGACACACATGCACGAAAACAAGAATATAAGATCAGCGACACTCCAAACACAAGTTTGCACTACAGTGTGCACTGTAAGGTTTTTGTCTTGTGATACATGTAGGTAATACACATACTTGATGAATCATAAACATAAACACCATCGTGTTTTCTGGTAACAGATAATGCTGGACTTAAATGTGTTCGGGAATACTAGGTCCACATACTACTATACGTACCCGACAAGATTAAATATAAGATATAACATTTTATAAGAGAAACATATTTCTGCTGCACAAAAGCTAATTGTTGTTTTTTTTTATTATGAACAACTGGAAAGTTGTATCTGTTTATGTCTGTACAAATGACCCCACAGAAACAACCCGAGAATCTGAAGACCCCTCTTTGGGTGACTGGCTCAGTGCTCATACGCATATACACTCATGATATTGGTTGTTTTAAAGGGTTAAACAAAGGCTCAAAGAAGGCTGTGTATTTTCATGGACTGTATCTCTGTATATTGCTGCATCAATCCCTAGTTTCACTCAATGGCTGAGCAGGAATATTATTTCTAATTCTGTCTCTGTACAGTATTGGCAGTGTGTTTGTGTGTGTGTGTCTTGGCTAGATCCATGTCCTTCTACAACTCCTCCTCTTCCCGTTGAAAGATTAGAAGGGCTGTGAACTCTCTCGAATACTGCAAACTGTGTGTGTGTGTGTGTGTGTGTGTGTGTGTGTGTGTGTGTGTGTGTGTGTGTGTGTGTGTGTGTGTGTGTACGCGCGCCACGCCAGAACCTTAGAGGAAAGAGAGATGGTGTGTGATTCCTCAGACTCAAGAAGAGGAAGGTTTTTGTTTTTTCAGGTACGTAGCAGCTACTGCTGAAGGCTTCTGACTCTAGGGAGTCCAGCAGGATCAAAAGTTTATTTCTTTTTTTTCCCTGAATCTCATAATTTCGGAGGTCAGATTTGTTTTTGTTATTGTCAAACTTCGAAACCATACCACCAAACCGACTGTGCCATCTCTTCAGGCAAATTATCTGACTTCACCCACCTCCCTCTGGGACCACAAAAACCAGTTTTCACTTCTGCAGTAGTACTATGACTGACATGTCAACAGACTTGTAATGTGTAAAATCCCTTTACGTTTTAACATTCTTTACATTTTTGCCTCTTCCCGCCATCTCTCTCTGATGCAACATTAACGTCATCAGGTCACGACATGGACACTCTATATGGGCAACTTAATTTAAATACAAACTAATTATATTTTTGACTGAGATGTATTTTACATTGTGACTGAGGTTTCTGTTGTCTGTGCACAGAATTGCTTACATACATACCATATATATATATATATATATATATATATATATATATATATATATATATATATATATATATATATATATATATATATATATACACACACACACACACACACACACACACACATATATATATATAAATGTTATATTATATTATATATTACTTCTGATACCTGTCCATATTATGCTGGCTACTGAGACTAAATACCCAGTTAAGGAGATTTTCAATTTGTGCATGCCCTCTTTGAAATATCTTACATCTCAAAGAGTAAGACAGTTGGTGGGATTTAATTCAGGTTTCCTTCATGGACCAGTCTTAACCTTTGACCTTGAATGTGAGCACTACACAAACAAAGCTGTGACTGAATCAGAAGTTGGGGGGAGATGTGAAGGTCAAATATGAACAAAACTTCATACAGAGCAACTGACCTCAGCCTCAGGTCCTTCCCAATAACAACTGACAGAAACAGAGTAAAGGTTGTTCGAAATGCCAACAGTGCAGTGTTTTCTCAATTCTATTTAAGAGACTTATGTAGAAACACAGTGAGTAAAAGATCTCCCAGATTTCACACAGACCAAAGCTTAAAACGCACTCAGCAAAGTTGGCTGGATGATCCAGATATTCTGCACATTTAACAATAGGAAGCAAGGAATTATTAGTTAGGCAGCCATTTGCTGAATAGAACCAAAATCACAGTTTTAAAAGGAAATACAAACAATGCAGCTGAACTCATCTGTAATATTTTCTCAGTAGCTATTTCTGGTGGAGCAAATCCATATCTGAACCGCCAGTTCAACTGAAATCAATATCCTGTTGATTGGTTGGCTTTCACCAGCGCTGGCAGACTGTTGATGCCAATACTAGATGTTGGTGGCCATCTGGTGCTCAATACGCCTCACTGGTGGACATGAGCTGAAACTAATGAGCAAATTCATGCCTCTGACTGCGACTTACTGGTGTTGGCAGACCAATGTAGAGCATATGTATTACATCATGTGTAAAGATAAGGTTTAAGGCCGAGACACAGATCTCATTAGCTTAAAATTAAAAAGTGGAATAATGCAATAATGAAAAGCAATTAAATGAAATTATGCAATTACTGCAGCATTTTCTCCTTAAAGTATGTATTGAAAAATCAAAGCATTGCATAAATTTATGTCGGTATGATTGCTCTCAACTGGACTTTTCTTACCTTATGACCCTAACAGCTGATGGATGTAGCAAGAAAACAACACTAACATACACAACATTGCAATTAAGAGCACAAAAACCAATAGAGAAGACATGGAAAAGTGCAGGGCAGAGACCCGTACATTCTCTCCCCAGACACCAATTAAATTCTCTCTCTTACATACACATACTGTATACACACACACACACACACACACACACACACACACACACACACACACACACACACACACACACACACACACACACACACACACACACACACTCATTTCCTGTTCCTGTGTTGATATCAAATCGCAACAATAGGTGCATTTCAGCAGCTGCGTTGTGCTGCTAATGATGGGAAAATCAGTAAAAGCAATTATCATAACCATTAACCCAACTATTAAACCTCTAGTGGGAACCAAACAGGGACAATGGATGAATGTATTACTTGCGGGGAAGAGGAACGAGAACGAAAGAGAAAATAGAGAAAGGAAAGAGAAACAGTGGACAGGAGCGAAAGAAAGATTACTGTTAACTTAGAAGAACAGAGAACAGAAAATAGGAGTAGAGAGACTCAGATCAGGTCAGAAGGCAAATGTCTGATCATCTGCAGCTTTTCTTCCTGAACAAAACCTTCCACTGGTTTTGACAAACTTTAAGTGAAGGGGAAGATACGCGTCATGTTGCAACACAGGAAATTGATATTTTAGTAAGCCTACATTCCTATGACACACAAACACGCTGCGCATACATTCACAATCAGTGTGTGTTCGTTTGCAAACATGAGCAAGAGCAACTTCACACTAATCCAACTGTTTTTACTTAAATTATGTGAAGACAGTATCAAAAGATCCTGCTTTCACTGCCAGCCTCAGTTACAACAGAAACTGTGGGCTACGGGCGCCATTATTTTAATGTACATTTAAATAACGTCTCGCTACATTAAAAAACAATTACCAGATTGACAGTGTTGCATTAACAACACAGGCTGGGACTGTGTGCCTAGCGCAGCAGTGGTTAACCAAGTGAGAAAAAGCGAGCAGGAGCGTATGAATGCGAAGGGAGCAGATTCAAAAGGTGAGTAGTCTCGTCAGCTATCAGTCGTCGGTGACTAAACGCTGCAGCATCTCAACACCAAAGTAAAGCTCTTGTGTGTCCCCCCCCCAATCTGCTGGAAAAGTGAAGGGGGTTATTGTGTTGAAAATTCTGTTTTATACGGGTGTAAAAAGAGAGAAGTGGCTATTCACAGACGGGTCCATTGTCAATGTGTTTGTGAGGGAGAGAGAGAGCGACAGGAGGGTAAGAGAGGGCTAAGCAAATCATCTCTACAATGACATAATATTTTGCCCATTTTAAAAAGGACCAATGTGTAGGATTTGGAGGCATTTAGTAGTGAATTTGACCGCGCAGGGAGGAGGTCAGGGTGGACAGAGATCATGTTTGTTTCCTGTTTCAAACTGACCGTCCAGCTTAACCATGCTAGAGTATCTGCACAGACCCTGCCCTCTACATGTGTTTTCTTAAGCTGTACTCACACAAGCACCGCTATCCTGAACTTTTTCCAGACATTACCCAGACAAGCTGTACGTGTCAACACAAATGTCCGAATTGGTTGGACCGGACATTAAATGGACCCACTCTGCGGGTGTGCCAGAACATAAGCACGCATCCAAGAGGAAGCTACGGTGCTGCTGAGCCAGGGGAGAGGGGCCAACTTTTGAGTGCTGTGTGTGCAAACCACAACCGACAAATCCCACTCATTCTACCTTTCTTTCACCCTAACAATCCAATTTTTTTTGTCTAGACCTAACCAAACCTTAACCACAATGTTTTTGCATTATAAAAGCACACCCCCGACCTATAAGGCAACATCATGTTAACCCTGCCTCCATACACCCCAACCCCTGACACATAAATACAGAAGTAAGTAAATAAGTAACAAACTGTAAGCAACTAAGAAAGTGATAGCATGAACCCTCAATAAATAAAGCATGCCAAAGAATACAATACAGCTCAACCTCAAAGTCTAAAATAGATAAACTTGTAATCTAAAAGCAAAGATGAAATGAAAGCAATTCAAAGCTTCAGTCATTAATCTGCTGATTAATACAAGGTACAAAAGATACAATGGTACCAAGGTACAATACAAGGTCGAATCAAACCCGGGTCAGTTATGACAATTAAAATCCATTCATTGCACACGAGATCTGCAAACATCTGCCGCTTTACAGCAATCCTGCTTTTCAGGCAAGACAGATCCGTCCAAGAAAAGCCATGGACTTTTACCAAAACAATATTGGACACAGCTTTTTAATTACAACAATGTGGCTCCAATCCGCCTCAGGTTAACTCAGGGATGTTATTACACATTACAACTGCTGACTCGGCTCCATCGTTCCACACTGGGTTTCACACTGAGCCGTTTTATTTTGAAACAGATGACTCGAGATGTCATGCTAGAAGGGTGAGTCAGGATTTGGATAGCAGCTGTGAAAATGAGTAGGGATCATCCGAAACACAACTTGAGACACGACAGAGATCTCAGTGAAGTAATCCCACACAGGATTTATTCAGTGAACTGTAATCATTGTTCTGAGGCACACTGGGCAACTAACCTAAACTTCTGGTTAAGTTTTTCTATAATTTCCTATGGTCTGGGTGGCATATGCAGGCTTAAACTGGCTTTGTATTGTGACAAAGCCAGCATGATTTTTTTTTCAGACAGTATAGCAGGAACATGTGTCGAGGAGGAGGGGAAAGGGAGAGGCTTCCTTCCTTCGCTGCAAGTCACCGGAGAGGGAAGAACCAGACGTCACCAACAGAGGAAGAGGGATGAAGAAGGAGAAGGAGGCAAAGAGAGACAAAAGAGAGGAGAAGACGGAGACAGAAAGGGAGAAGTGGAAACTGAGGTGGGGCAAAAGAAAATGTGGGAAAGAGGAGGGCAGAAAAAAAGCAGGGAAGAAGACAAGGCAACAAGAGGTGCTGGATGAGAGTGGAGGGAGGGGCTATGCTGGGCATTAGCTGCGGTTTTAACACTTTGGTCATTTCTTCCAAATGTTTCTTCAGTGTAGGCCAGAAAAACACAGCTCTGCTTAGCTCATGATACTCACAGGGCCTAGCAGCTTGGATTAAGTCTGGAGTAACAACCCAAGAAGAAATCAAAGAGGAAACTTGAAAGCTTTGACACTGCAAAGCTTTCAACACAACATTCAACACAGCCATAACTCATTAAGGCTCACAGCGTATCAGTTTTATGTTCATGATCTTTCAATAAAACTCATTGCTCTTACTGTAGATCCAGCATCTAAAGCACATCACAGCGTCATTATGTAACCCATAATGCAGAGCATGTAGATCATTGTTATTGCCTCAGGTTCCTATGCATGTGGCTTAAGTGTGCTACTAAACAATTTAAGTTTTACTTTAAATGCTGACAGCATCGTAAGAGAGGTCCAGCTTTGTTTTCATCTGGAGTCCTTCGCCACTTCCTGTACCTCAGTGCCTTCGAGCGTTCCCATAAAAAAAAAAAACATGTGAAATGTTTACTTTTATGCCTCATGGACAGACCGGAGATACTGAGGCACTGTAGGTGAACTTTGTGTATTTTAGTCTCATATTTTATCTTTCAAGGCTTTACGTCTCTCTGTGTAGCTTCACCAGGGAGTGAAAAGGCTTGTGATGCATCCATGCTTTTGTTTCTTTTATTAGCTAGTACCTTTACTTTAGTTACTTTTTGTAGCCATTAGTTTGGTTTGTGTTAGACCTTTTTTCACAGTAGGCATTTGAACATTAAATAGTTGGGTAAACTTGTTTTTACTAATGATAGTAATTGAGGTGCTGTTCCATTTAGTGTAGCAGAGCCTTTCCAGTGAGCCAACATGCACAATAGCAGCACCCTGACTCTGTTTGACCTGAATGGAACGGAGCCTTAATTAGTGTCAATGGTAACACCAGTGTTTATCCTACCATTTCACACACTGTTTCATGCACTGTTTCAATGGCGGCTGTGAAAAAGGTCTATTTAGCCCAATGTATGAGACCTCTGCTCTGCAGTCTTTGATTATGATGTGTCTTAGTGATGTTTTCTTCCTCAGCAGGTGAACTCGTGGATATCACAACTGGGCAGCTCCATTGGCTGAGGAAGACAGTGTGCTATGATCAAAAGCACAAGAACAGCTATGGAGTGGACAGTTGGTTTTGTCAGCTGGCAAAATTATTATTTGAATCAGGAGATGTCCAATCAAAAGAAGTAAACAAGATAATAGGCAAGGCAATGGCCGAATCATGACCTTCAAAGTAAACAGGTCTCGATCTACCTGAACACATCTGGGGGATTCTGGACTGACATTTATGACTCTTTCCCACCATCATCAAAACACCAAATGAGAGAAAATCTTTTGGAAGAACGGTGTTCATTCCTCCGAGACTGAGAGGAGAATCTATGTCAAGGAGTACTAAAGCTGACACTTAATGATGGTTTTACTTTTCTTTGGCACCAATCTCTAGACTAAAATCATTGTTCCTCTAAAGCAGTGGTTAATAGTCACGTGGTGCGTACTGAATTGCTGGTTTTCTATTGCGTGTGATGATAAACTGCAGTCATTTGCATTCGCTTCTAGGTGCAGGTGTGAAACAGTCCCAGCAGTCACAGGAACTGAGATTAAAAATATATTGAAAAGGATATGATTGTTAACACTGGCATACTTTTTACTTTTTGGAGTGTTTTTTGTGTTAAACACAGAAGGAATACTAAAATAGAGATCTATACAACTGGACCTGAAACATTGAGTCAAAATAATTGGCACTAATTCAGGGATTTTTTTCTTTCCCTCGTATGAAAATGTGGTTTTGGTTTTGGACTCTTGGTCAGACGTCATCATGGAATTTCCCAAAATGGTGCATTTTTCCCTATTTACTGACATTTTAATGAATCTATTAATTGAGAAAATAATCACCATAGTAACTGACAATAAGAAACAATCTTGAGTTGGAGATTGGTTGTTTAATAGATCACCTAAAAAGAGATCTGCATCTATTTTGAGTAAATAGATACATTTTAAGTAATATTTCAAATGAAAATGTTCTTGTGTTCCTGCCCTTCCATTGGGATCATTTGCTGCTTTTTTTTCTGATTTATATAAATGTGAATTTAATATTTTGTGGTTCTGCACTGTTCTACACAAAAAGACTATTTAATGACAGCCTCTTGGCCTCTCTGGGAAATTGTGATGGGCATTTTTTCACAGTTTTCTCACCAAGCACTCAATCATTTAGTCAAGAAAACAATAAGCAGATTAAGCGATCATTAAAATAACCATTAGTTGCAACTCTAGGGTGAACTCCAGCATCTATACAAACCTCAAACCATGTGAGGGCATTTCCTGACTTTTGCATGCCCACTTGTTGACTCAGAAATGATCTTGTCTTGGTTAATAGGTTCCTTACTGTGAATTAAATGTAAATCCACTGAGCTGGGTGGGCTTCACACAGTCCTCTGGTCTCTTTAAGCAAAAACAAACCGCTTAAAAACTAGCTGCTCTCCTTCAGTTCATCTGGCTGGCTAAATACATAAACTCCCATCAAGCAGTGCATTTTTTTTTTCCCCAGCAACACTGCCGCTTCATAAACAACTATTTGGTTACACAACACATCCTGCTTTAACACTGGCTACTACTTCACTCACACAAGCAGCGATACATTTGACAGGATGGTGATGCAAGTGCGTTTGAATTACACTACATCCAGTTGGCTAACTTCCTATTAGCGTGAAACAACTGAGCGCTTTGTGTTGGGGCTCAACTGTGTGAAAGTTTCGGTAAATTATCCGACAGAGATATTAAAAAGAAAGAAAAGCAGACACAATGAGTAGAGTAAAGATAGCGGAATGTGTGTGTGTGTGTGTGTGTGTGTGTGTGTGTGTGTGTGTGAGGGAGAGGGAGAGAAGAGGGAGGGAGTACACACACTCACCGCTCGCAGCCTGAGACACGGCAGACACCGCCGTCTGACCCATATTCTGCTTCTCCGGAGCACCGAGCTTCCCCCCTCCAACAACCCGACTATCACGGTCTTCTACCGCCGGACAAACCCCACCAGCAGCCGCCGAGGGAGTTCATTTCGCAACAACAAAAACTAAGTTTTTCAGACCGTGATGGCTGAGTCGCTGGAAACTTGGTTCACTCACTGACTGACTGTGTCGCTACTACGTCGTAACTTCCCCTCCCACCTCTTCTTCCTCCTCCTGTGAGCAGCTGAAGAATGCCTCTCATTCCTCCCTGCAGATTAAAGGCGCTGCTGGGGTCAAAGGGTGGCGGGGTCGGACACCTTCTGACACTAGTTTACACTGGCAATGAGAGTTTTAAAAATGTGAAAAATATGCCCGCTGCAGGTTGTACACTAGCCTACTCAAGAACTAATTATGATGGAAGTTGTTCTTTACTTGAGTATTTCCATTTAATGCAGCCTACCTTTATTCTATTACAGTTGTTTAGCAACATGACTTACTTTTAAACTTTTAAACTGACTAATAAATTATGATGTACCCATTAACCATTGACCTGCTAAGCACAACTTGTTTTTTTCTTTTGTATTGCATAATGCAACGTAACATTGCACATGTACAGTTATCCATCTGGACCATAATCAACTTTATTGTATACAGTGTATATATTTGATATATTCTATTCTATTTTTATTCTGTTTTTATTTAGTTTTATTATATTTGCTGTTTGCACTACACTTGCCCTGTGTCGGGGGATCAATACAGGAACATCTTATCTTATCTTATGTAGCCTATTATTATAGTACATTAAGCTACACTGCAGTATATTTAGTTGCTGAGAGTGCAACATTAAAGTGATGCTTGCACATTATTATGGGATCACTAATCATCATCCAGTAGTATAAATTAATCTGCAGCATAATAAGTAATTTAATTGTAATTGTTTGTACTTTGTATTTTTATATTGATGCCAATACTTCCCTCACCTTCCACTTACAAGCAAGTAGAAGAAACTACTCTGTCTGAGAAATTTGCAAAAATGCAAAAGGCCTGATCTAGAGTCAGTGTTTGGCTTGTCCGTTTTGGGCAACTGCGGAAACATGGCGGTGCAACCTGGTGGACTCCATGGAGGAGGATGCAATCCCTCTGTAGATAACAGAGCTCAAGACAAGCTAATTCGAGGAAAACAATTCTTATTTTCAGGTGATTATACACTAATGAAAGCATGAACATTATATTCCATTTCTGCTGATTAGTACATGTACTTTTGATACTTAAAGTACATTTTGCTGATAGTACTCTCCTTTAACTTAAGTAGGATTTTTGAATGCAGAACTTTTACTTGTAATGGGGTGTTGGTACTTTTATATAAGTAGAGGATATGAGTATTTCTTCCACCTTTGTAAATTAACAGCTTCTTCTAGCTTTTAAAGAGCAAAAATATGTTTGTGTGAGTGCAGACCATCATTATACAGTCTGTGCAAACCTGCACATGTCACAGAGATCCACAAATACACTCACTCCTTATCAAACAAAAAATTAATGTTTGTTGTTGCTTTAATTAAGTCAAAAAAAGGGACAGTGCTGGGCAGTGATTAGTTGAACTGCCAATATAATGTGTGGTATGTTATGGTAAAGTAGGATAGGTTTTAACTGGTACTATATAGCATTGCTTGTCGACACAAGTTCCAGGAACACAATTACAGACTATGAAAACCTTTATTTATGATCTTGTGAATAAATCTTGACTTCAGGGGAGTTCGTTTAATGTTGAATAGGCAGAAATAATCTGCTCTTTAGGAGAACTGTTAAGAAAGAAAGAGGAACTTTCTAAGTTTTGGTTTCACTGCAACTGTGTCTGACTGGTTTACCGGTTAACCAAGACAACAACATAAAAACATAAAACATTTCTAACTCGTAAATGAAACATTTAAAGTTCCAGTGTGTAACATTTAGGAGGATCTATCGGCAGAAACTGTATATAATATTCATATATTTTCATTAGGGTATAATCGCCTGAATATACAAATCCATAATGTTTTTGTTACAATAATCTACAAACGGCAAACCACACACTGACTCTAAATAAAATCCTACACAGTGGTTGTTTAAAGATATCTGTGTGTTTAGGCTTGGGAATAGACAAACCAAACTAAGTGTGGCACAATATTTTAAGCTTACAGTCCATGATAAATAAATGAGCTCAGGGTCTGGACAGTATGTGTGGCTCCAGAGAAGGGTCGGTACAGTAATCTAAGTAATCTAATACCCCGAAGGCTAGTTATTTTGAAAAAAAGGAGATGACAGTGAACTGAATCCAGCTTTGAGCTTTGTCCAAATGGGAGCAAAGGCAGAAATATGTCAAGGTTTGTTAGCGTGGCTTTTAAATAAATATATAAATAATATAATAGGCTTAATAGACATATGAAGCTCACACCACTTCCCACTGATAACTGTGGCAAACCAACCAACACTCCTCCTTGAGACTCTCAATATGGGGGTCAACTAGAGTGTAATGAAGTGTAATGTGTGTGTGTGTGTGTGTGTGTGTGTGTGTGTGTGTGTGAGAGAGAGAGAGAGAGAGAGAGAGAGAGCTTTATCTGTCATCATTGTCAACAATGTGTCAGTTGATATGTTTCAGATCCCAGCTTGACAGAATTGACCGGTCACACAGCTGTCAGTGCACAAACCGTCACGTAAACACACACACACACACACACACACACACACACACACACACACACACACACACACACACACACACACACACACACACACACACACACACACACACACATAGTGTGGCATTGCCAAATCAAACCTGCCTGAGCTGTCAATGAAATAACTTCCCATTAAGGCTAAGGCTGCCATCTAGTGTTAGGTACACAACTTAAATGAGTCCTCCGCAGGTTAACTAGGAGACTAAAGGTCATTTGTCAATAAGTCATTCTTGTGCATTCTAATTATAAAATGTTTGTTTCTGCTTCTCCATGTCCTAGCATAAGAGCACATTGTTGCTTTGGATTGCTGCAATATGAATATAAACAAAACAGAAAAAAACTTTTATACAGGAAAATTGGGTAAATCAAAACAAAGAAGTGAATTTGGCACCAGCAGTGCGTGCAGACCGAGGTTTTACTCATTCACTACCTCTTAATTGACTCACCTGACTCATCTGCAATCAATCAATAATATTATAGGGTTGGCTGCATTTTTTTTTTACATGTGTGCTATGAATGTGGCTGTTTTAACCCAATAATGTCCATGGTGGAATTTTATAATTTACAGTGTTTAAAGTACTAGCTGAGTTAATCATAAATCAATAAAAAAAAAAAGAAAATCAAAATGGTCATGTGTATTTATGCATAAGTAAGTTTTTTAAACATACTTTTTAGCTAAATATAGTCAATAGTCATTAATGGGTTAAATCTTCTCATCCCAGAAACTTACATTTGTGTAGATAACTACTGAAACTACAAAGCTTCTCTTTGCTGGATATTGTCAGCTCACCTGTGAAAAAATATCTGTATTTGTAAAAATAAATATAATGTAAATTTATGTAAAGTGTCTTTGAGTATTTAGAAAAGCGCTTATAAATAAAATGTATTATTATTATTATTATTATTATTATTATTATAAATGAATATATAAGGTGTCAATTAGTCATAAGTGTTGATTATTTCTATTTATCAACAAATGTTTAAGTTGTTGCAATGCTATCTTAGAAGTTACATCCTGCTTGGTCTACGGATAAGGATAAGTGGTTGTAGACAATGGATTGATGGATGGATGGATCCTGCTTTGGTCCAAAACCCCAACAGGGACTTTCTGACTTCCTGGAAGGCGGTGTCTGACTGAAGCTACCCTGATGTTTACCCGGGGGTTTTGGCTTTTTTGGCGACGAGGATTCCTTCTCCTGTGGCTCGGCATAAGTATGATCCGCCATTATTAACTAAAGTGCAGTGCAGACTTTCAAATGTGCCGGGGCAGTGACAAGTGCCTCTCACTGATCTCCTTCTCCGTTATAGCTGGTTTCAGTCACGTGACGCTGGCTCCGAACGAAAACGCGTTGTGGATTTGCTAGACAGGTAGGCTAGTGCTTTATGTCCCTCTCGGCGATTATAGTTTTTCAAAATGACGGAACAACATGGAAGCCTCCATGGACTTGCCCGTCTAATGTATATACAGATAAGAAATTCTTCGCTTACGAGGATAAGTCAGATCATTGGCAGAGGGAATTTTACACCAATGAGGACACATTTATGAATGAAGACATTGATTTTAGCTAATAAAATACTTAAAACACTACACAATGTCCCTTTAAAGTGTGAAGTAACTGATAGCTTGCAAAGCATGCTTTCAAAGGAGCTTCCCCGGCAGGGCTTGAAGCAATATATTTGACAGCAGCCTTTGCAAAGACTCCAAACCCAGTTTTTAGTATATAATAATACAAGCTTTGTGCAGATTCACACCTAGCAGCTGCCAAAACAGCCAGTCATACAGGACTGCCGTTAGTGAATGAGATGGAAGTGGATAATTGAGACAGGAAGTCAGTGAAAATGTGGGAGGATAAAGACAGGACTGGAGGATGGAAGTACTTAGTAAAGTTAACGGAGGAAAGTGACTATGTTAGCATTGACAGGGGGGTAATGTTATTAACTGGATGTATCTGCAACGCATACTGAATTTCGTACGGAGGCGTATGGACCCAGCACTGTTGGTGGTCAGTCCATTTACATATAAGACAGAGGAGTAGTAATACAGTAATCAGAACAGTGGGTCAAAATTGCTTCATTCTACAGTTCATATAATGTAACCCAGTTGCATCATCGGACCCTCTGCCACATCTTTTAAACATAATGCCTTAGTTTGTATTGCAGGTTTTCTGTTGAAAGTCTTCAAGGTCTTACACAAATTTTGGTTCCAAATCGAAATGGACTCAACCACACATAAATTAATTTTCAAAAAGAACAAGAAACATTTTGAATGGGATCAAAGGACAATTACACCCAAACAGACCCAAAGATACTTAGACTAAAATGTAGTTGAGCCAAATGGATCCAGAGATTGAGCTCACCAAAGGCCAGGACTAACAAGGTGAGAAATCGTTTTGTTTGAAAGTGTTGACGGTGATGTTGTTTTAACCACTGATGACTGAGTTGGATATGCTCCTAATTTAATGCCATGCTTTCATTTATGTCCGTTTGTGGGTCA